AGGATCTCATTCAGTCCTTCCTTAACGGGAGTCAGGGTTTAAGCTTCAACAATAAGGCGGGGCACTAAGCTTTTTCCACACTACCGCAACTCTTTATACAAAGAACCGCCTCTCGTCCTCATAGCTCCTGCGTGTGACCTCCAACTTGTGTTTCACTGTTCATTCTAAAAGACGTCCTCTGGGCGGACTCTGTCCGAGGCTATGAGGATGAGTCCTTGTCTGAGACTAAAATGGTTCGGCTCTTCAAGCCTTTAAGGAGGAACTGCGGCACTTGGATTGATGCTAGGGAAAAAGCCAGTACTTTACCATTACTCCTTTACCTGGAGCAATAAGGATCATGTGCTTTTTTTTTTCCCTTTCCATTTACCACACACCTGCTCATATTCAACAGCCTCTGAATTCACAAAGGTGAAACGATACCTTCATCCGGTTCTTTTCCATCCGCCGAAGAAGCATTCTGCGCCTGCTTTGCTTCAGCTTTTGGCTTCTTCTTGTTCTTCTTCGTCTAGAAAGCAAGAAAGAGCGGGTCTCCGAGATATGAGCGACGGAAACGCACAAGAGCCACTAAACGCACTGCTTTGCACATCAAATGACCGTCGGGATGCAGATGCAGAGCCACATTCTGTCCAGGGTGGAAAAACGTGCCGACTCTCTTTTCGTCAGAAACCGGTCAGCGAGAGGGGTTTCAGCTTTTCCCAGAACAAAAGCGCCCTCTGTCTCCTCATCAGCTCGTGAAAGGCACTACGGGGTCCGTTCCCTGTCCGCTGGTCGCTCGGACAGCTCGGGAGGGGACTGGCTTCACGCGCACGTCCAGTCCGCAACCTGACACGGCCAGCTGGCGCCGCCAGGCCCTTTCCATGAGATCAGGGGCAGGCACCCCCCCACCACCACCACCCCTACACCCACAGTTGTCAACGCCTAAAATATCGACAAATCAGCAGGTCGCGTTTTTCCTTGCTTTATTCCAGAAGGGAAGGAGTAAACCGACCCTTGCGCTCGCAGCACGGCAGGACTGCTGCCGCTTAGAAAGTCTGCGGACTTGGGCTGCCAGTCTAGAAAGCGACCTCGACGGCACCGCAAACACACCTTTTCGGTCTTCACCTCTGCCGCCTGTTTCAAGACGTCTTCTGCCGCGGCTTTGACATCATCTTCCTGCAGCTCAACAATTGTGCGTCCGTTCGGCTGGGCTTTCTGCGGGACACAGGAAACACACGCAGACGAACTCTCAGCATGGGCGACAAGAAAGTGCACATTTACTGCCACATGTATGTGTTAAGTACGCAGAAAGCAGCACCGCTGAAAGCACCGTTTCTTTTTAATTTTCTAGTGAACACGTCAGTACAGAAGGATCAGCGGATTTATATTAGGTGTCGCTGCATTTATAAGGTGCAGCTCTTTTGTATTTTTGCGTTTAGCAATTCCACACAACATCCTTGATAAAATATTCAACCTCCCCGTTTACAATCACATCCGATTAACACGTAGCAAACGGTAAAAGGGGGCAGGAAGTTAAGAGATACTTGCGAGAAGGATTACGTGGATTTCGAGAGAGCACTGACGTAATAGAGCGTAATCTTTGTACTTCACAGAGCTACAATGTGCCCAGCGAAGTCCGGTGCCTTTTTAATAAAGCCTTTTAAAAACGTGTCTGTAAAACAGACACAAGTGCGTAACACAACGTAAAATAAAATCAAGTTTATTATTACGTGTTTTTTTGTGCTAAAGTTCGTTTTTCCCCAACTGTTATTGGGATGCAATGCAAACCCCATTTACAGCTAAACAAATGCATTCGTTTACCTACAACAATCTATGTATGCAAAACATTTCCACCTACTTTCGGCCTCACGGAGAGGTCGCCAGAAACTGCCCCTTCGCCATTTTTCATTCAAACAAGAAATGGCCTGCCATAAACTATTCCCCAACTGATATAAAATGCACACATATATGCACCTATTCCGCCGTGCACGCTCCTTGGATTCTCGTTTTGAGCAAAACGCTATAAAAAGTTGCACAGTCACATTTCAGCGCCGACAACTTCGGCTCAGTTGTCCGTGCAAGAACGATCGTGACGTCGTGCCCAAGCGCAGGCTGTACCGAAGGCGATCTCGTTACCTTATCAACAGGTTTCTTTTTGTTCCTCTTCTTCTGCTCCTCGGGCTTGCCCGCCTTGGCCGCCGCGGCCTTTGCGCCCTGGCTGGTCGGCTCGGCCGCTCTGGCCCCTCGCTTCCTGCCCCCGACGAGCCCGGCGCAGGCCGCGGCCCACACGGCCGCGACCCCCAGCAGCCCGAGGAAGGCCGTGAGCAGCAGTAGCACCCACGACGGGTACAGCTCCGGCTTCAGACCCAGGTCCACCCCGAGCTCGGAGCGGAGCAGGCCCAGGCCGGAGGACAGCAACTCCCGCAGGCGGCTGGATATCTCCTCGGCCTGCCTAGTCGCCACCTCCTGCCAGCTCGCTGCCATCTTTTACACTGAACACTGACAGACAGTCGTGGGGCAGAGACCAGCGACGGGGGGGGGGGGAGGGGTTCAGTTTGACAGCATCCCCCTTTACCGAAGGCAACAGAAAAACCACCGAGACCGTACCTAACCGTCAGCTCCCTGATTCTTTAACGATTTAAAGTTTCATCACCGGCTTTTCGTTGTTCTTAGCGACGGCGGTGACGGTGTTATTACGGTTCCCGTACGCGGCGCTCCCTCCCTTTCGCGACTCCCAGGATCTGGCGATGAAGCGAAAGTTGCTCCGTGTCAGTCCAAAGCCCCCAGCGAGGCCCGGACTCCCTCCTGCAGATTAGTGCAACGTCACCATTAAAATGGAAGGGATGCGATTTAAAAAAAAAAAAGGAGGTGGAGGGGGGATCCTGGGTAGGTTTCGGGTGAGCTGGTCTCTGAGGGGGAAATTGCCCGGACTCGCCTGCAGGAAAAAGAGATAAGAGACGGACACGCGTCGCCTGCTGGAGAGAGTGTGGCGAGATTTCCTGCGTGGTAAAACGAAACCAAGATGGTAATAATAATAGTTTTTTTTTTAAAAAAAAATCAAAACGTGTTTAAAAATAGTTCGTGTGTAAACCTTCAAATACCGAAGCGAAGAAAATGAACGCGTCTAATTGCGTCAAATAAATGATAAGGCGTTATTATCCGGCGGAAGCCCCGGTGCTACACGATGCCCGTCATTACATATTTTTTTTTCCAGCCGTCTGCAAATGTCCAGAGTCGGACGGCAGTGGTCTTTAAAGCGACAGGTTAAGTTTAAGCTAACTTTTAACAGTAAACGATTGTTTCGTTTATAGACGGTTTGCCTTGGTCTTCGCATTGGAATGAAGATTTTAACAGTAACCAGGATCTAAAGACGAACTGTTTAACAGTTACTGAAAGCATTTCCTAATGTTACAAGACGATATAAACAAGGCATATCAGCCTACTGTAATGCCAACATTGACTCCAGCCCGAAAGTAAGAATGCAGTTTTTTCATTTTTTAGTGGACTAAATTCAGACCCCTCAGTATAAACCATGACCCAGTAGTGGATGTCATGTCATTTTCCTCCTGTACTGATATTTTTACATGACATGACAGTGATAAGTGCAGTACACAAGACACAGTATTTTAGGTCACATATATATAAAAAAAGCATTAGCTTTATTGTTTTCCTATATTTTGTGACAGTCGATGAGAGGTCTGTGCAGACTTGCAAGAACAATTCAGACTGATGCAGGGTTAAGCTCAGGGTCTAGCTCTCTGCAGCCCTATAAGGATAAAGTGATTACTGAATTGAAAATGGATGCATATTCAAGCTATATAAGCTAAAGATATATATATATATCCTGATCTCAATGTTATAGTTTTGACAATTCATTTTTTACACTTTATTATCAGTATGTTCTTTTGTTGTATCAGTGGCCATTAGTAAAACAAAATCAGAGCTACTGACCAATTTGACTTTTCTTCTGGTGGCCAGAGCAGAGAAGCTACTGCATAATAATATGTCTTCTTTAAAGCAAAAAAGACATCGGCTTACACTAATACTGGATTTCCTCAATGATGGTAGTGCAGAAACTAACAATTTACCAGGAACCATGAACAGTTTCCCAAATTACAATTTCCAAATGTTTTCATAGACCTTTAACTTTAAGACATAAAATTAATCTTTTGATCAATTATTTATGTTTAGATTTTTTTTAAATGAATATATTTCTTAGACCTCTCTCTTACAAATATTTTTGATATTGAAACTTTTAAGGCTAGGAAAAATGTCAAACAGCCGATTAAGATATTTTAGCAAATTTATTGATTGATCAGTAGTACAGGGGACAGTTCACTACTGAAAACGTCTTGCATATGACAAAATACTTCTGTATACTATGCACACTGTATACTGTATGACTGCAAACTCACTGAAGTATATTGAACATTTGTGGTTCATCATAGCTCCAGGGTTATAAGGAGAAATACGATACTGTTAATCAGATAAGAATCCACATTTTCAAAACAGATGGCCAAATATCAGCAAATGGTTACCATTACCAATATCTGGCACTTCTATAAAATGTGGCTGTGGAGTCGAGACCTGATATTGTACCTCAGAGCTTAGCTTACATGTAGGGAAAGGGGATTACTTCACAGCCTCTGCATTCAGCTGTTTGAAAGCTATACTGCAACACTGTCAGTACGAGGTGTCATTCATGACTGGTATCAACGGAACACTGGTCAAGAGAGAAAATACCTGCTAAAAAAATATTTCTGCTTTCCTGCATGAACGTGTGAAGGTTACATAAAAGGCTTTATTATGCAACACTCCTTTTGGGTCGCCCGCCCAGCAAAGACCAAACAGACAAGTTCTTTATCTGGCCAATGACCTTTATGTTTAAAATTATTTTCTTAAGATGAACGCAAAACTCAAATGCAAAATGAAAGTGATCAAAATAACTAAACGACCCCAAAGTAATTTTAAAAGTCTGCATCCAGAGTAAAGCTGCAGTCCACTGTGTTTGACATGACGCCCAGCCTCTGGTACTCTGCCACTCGTTTCTCAAAGAAATTGGTTTTCCCCTCCAGGGAGATGGACTCCATAAAATCAAATGGGTTTTCTGCTTCATATATCTAAAAGAATCAGACACAACATACAAAACATAAGATATGGAAAGAGCATCAATTTTATCTTTTTAAACCTTGTCTTTCCTACATGTCAACATATCTACTTCATTTTCCTCATGCCTATATGCTGAGACCCGGCATTAAAAACGCAAACTATGAGTCTGGGGTTGAACAGGACCAACTGCTTCCCAGTAAATTTGATATATTTTTTCTTTTAATTTGAGACATTTCGGACAAAATCGCAGTTCAAAAACATATCACACATAAAAAAACTAAAGACATTTTTGTATCATTTTTAAAACAAATCTGACAGTGTTAGAATAATTAAAAGAAAGACATGTTCACTGTAAAGGGTAACTTGCACTTTCATACTACACTCATACAGTCTTACCTTGGACAGCCCCAGATCTGTCAGTAGCCTGTCAGCCACAAACTCAATATACTGCTTCATTAAGGTGCAGTTCATTCCAATGAGCTTCACTGGTAAAGCCTCTGTCAGAAACTCCTTCAAAGACAGAAAACGTACTGTACTGTAGCACTAAGCTCTTTAAAGCTCAAGCGTATGGTGATTATGTTACATCATGGTTTTTGAATATATCAAACGTAGCTGCTTGACACTGGAAAAGAGTGGTTTGTGAATTTGTTTCAAATGAAATATTGTAGCTCTGAAATCACATTGTAATCAGTTACATCTCTCTTGTAATAGCACTTATGCCTGAGGTATATTTTTAATTCTATCAATGTAACTGAGTCAACAGCTGTGTTCTCCAATTTCTTCTCCTTTTTGCGTTTGACGTGCATGTTGATGTGGTGCTTGAAAGGGGGTGATTAGTTCATTTCAGCACTGTGCTGCTGGCAGATTGTCTGTTTACCTGCTCAATACTGACTGCGGTGGCGATGATATCCCTCACCCTCTCTTCTGAAGGCTTCCTCACAAGGTAGCTGTACATCAGACAGGCAAAATTACAGTGCAGCCCCTGGTTGGAAATTAGTGAAATGTTCACTTGCTCATGCATCGCAGAGAGACGGACAGATCAGAAAATGACTGCAAGACAGCTCTCGAAGTATTTCTCCTCCCACACACCGCCAGGATATATTTTGAAACAAAATATTTTCAGTTTGTAGTGTGAACTCAACACCCTCGGGACCTCTGTCCACCAATGTGATTACAGCAGCCTCTCTCTGTGCTGGCAGACTACCTGCTAGAACACCATGGGGGATTGGACACTGTTTTTAGCTTTGTGCATCATAGCTGAAGTTGCTTGCTGGCTCCTGTGGCTAATGTGTAATCCCAAAACACACACGACTCTGTTCTTATCATTGCTTTTGGGTTTTACCTCATCTCTGCTGATAAGCTCATTGGAATAGGTCAGTCCTGGCATGAGACCCCTCTTCTTCAGCCAGTAAATAGCAGCGAAAGAGCCGGAGAAAAAGATACCTTCTACTGCAGCAAAGGCCACAATTCTCTCTCCTGCAGAGAAGAAAATGCTGCATAAATGTTCAATGTTTAGGTTTGGAAACTAAGGGGGGAAAAATCACGTCACGGAGGTGCAGTTTGTGGGATATTGTTTGCCATTGCTTCTCCTCACTGTAGTGGGAACTGTGGCACTGCAGCTAATTCTAACGAGCAGGTACTGCAAGATGCACTGCTCCTCAGATGAGGCACAATGAAATGTAGAACTGGACAGCTGGATTGCTTTTGCAACTGTCATCTGATTCCAGTATTTACTTTGTGTAATGATGTCACCCAGTGCAGAATCATTGACCCTTCACTGTGATGTCCTTCTAAAGTTGGAATACGCTTTTCTTCATACGATTCTGTCGCTGTCTGAGCTCTTCATGCTACTTCTTTAGAAGCCAATGAGAGCTGTAAGTGTTGACTTGATTATAGAAGTGTCTACCTCTTAAACATTACTGTCAACTTACCAAAACTATCACTTGAATTGTTGCCAGCCATGCATTAAACAGACCTTACCAAAAGTAGCTTTTGTGTCAGATATCCACTGTAAAGCCCAGTCTGCCTTCCTTTTTATGCTGGGCATAGTTTGAATTGCGTTAAACAGATATTCCCTAAAAACAGAGAAAATACGCATTTATTTCAGAGTAAACAGACTTTAAGAAAAAGCATAGACAAACAAACGGACCTACTGTAGTCTTGTCAAGTCCGATGTAAATATATATGCAGACCTACCATGATAGCAGGCTATCAGGTACATGTGACTGCAATTGTTCGTTTTAAACTGACCACACAGATTTGTCCTTTTGCAGTGAATTGGGCACAAGCCCTTGTCCTGCTGATGAAAAGCCCTGTGAGCTGCCTGCCCTGTGCATAAGACAGACTTACAGTCTCTTGGTGGAAACGGCAGGCTATCTGACCAGCATGGCTGTGCAAATGGTAAAAAAATGATGATGTAGTAAAATCTAGAAAATAATATAATCTATATATATAACTATATTACATATTATAATATAATCTTCACAGACACACCCCTGTGGGAGGCGCTCTCAAACACAGATGTGTCTTTTATAAGTCCGTTCTTACAAGTGACTCTGAATACCAGCCCACGCCCTGTTACTCTCTTCGCCTCATCAAGACAAGAGGTCTCTGCTTAAATACTCACCAGCAGGGTCTCGTGCTAAGGAACATGGTTCTGGGACAATCCAGTAAAGTCTTTTGGGAAAGTACTGAGAACCGTTACATTCCAGCATCTGAGACCGGCTGATTGCTCAAGTCCATCCCCACACCTCACATGTGTTGGCGGCTTCAGGAGAGTGAGCCAACAGGGCCCAGCCTGATGCTTACCTCTCCTTCAGGTCCCGGATGTAGGTGTTAATGAGCATGCCGTACATCTCAGAGTGCACGTTCTCGATGAGGATCTGGAAACCGTAAAAACATCGGGCCTCGGGGACCTGCACCTCCTGGCTGAATCGCTGGACCTGAGAAACACCGCAAACCAGGTTTCACTTCATTATTTGCACTAAACCTCCACACACAAGGTTGTTGAGAGTGTTGGTTGTTCTCTGTGAACTTTGTACACACTTTCCCTGCGAAAGATTCAATGTTTTAGAAGGTGGACATTTAGAACTGGTTTGAACTGGATTGGAAGACTGCTGGACACAAGGGCTGCTATGTAATTCTATACCGTCATATAGGAATGCCTGCTAGGAACCTAAGTAACCAATTGTATTAAAAGAAGATATCTTCAGCAAATAGGGAAGGAGGAAGATGTGCGTGATTTTGGAACACTGCCAATCCTGTAAGCAGAGGGAAGCGTGATAGATAATAGAAAACTATTTAAGGACTGTTCTAGTTTGATTACTTTGAGAAAATTACACCGAGCAGTTCTGTGTGTTTTGCTCCTATGTGCATGAAATAAAAACTTCTTTTCACTTCTGAGATGGACTCCTGACTGTCTTTTAAGGGGAAGCGGGGAAAAATTTCTCCAAGAGCAATAACATCTGAATGGGAATCCCAGTTTTGTGATGACGTGATAGTTCCATACATTCTGGGATAGAATAGCATTTTACATCACAGTGTTTACTTTTGGATGTACACATCTGTGTAAAAGAGACAAGAGAAATGTTACTTCTTGTGATCATTTTTCCCTCCCATCCCCATCTGTGGGACTCCCCTAAATACTTCTACCTAAAGACCCATAAGATATGTCTAACACAATGGACCCCCTGTCAACAAGGCCTTAACTGGACCAGCAGTCCCAAAACGGAGGCTCTGCTTACAAGGTTCTCGTTGACGATTCCATCGCTAGCAGCAAAGAAAGCTAAGACGTGGGAGATGAAGTGCCTTTCTTCGGGCTTCAGTCTGTCCCAGTGAGCCAGGTCCTTCGACAAATCAACCTGCACAGATTGATCACAAGCCGGCCTCGTTAACACATTCGCCAAAGGATCGCAAAGTAATGTTTACACTCTGTCATTTACTCCAGCTGTACAGAGGTCCTTTGCCCCAGCCTGAACCAGTGATTGGAAACACTCAGCTCCAAGCCTTCTGGAATTGCACACAGAACAAATTATTCCACTCTGCATGGCCTTGCTCACCAACTAACTGAACTCCAGGGCCCAGAATAACAGAGTTCAGATTCAGGCACGGGAGGTACAGCATTGCAGCCTCCAGTACTGGGGCCCTGGGTGCAATTCCTGGAGTGTCATCTGTGTGACACTCCACTCCACACATCTGTGTGACATTTGTATGTTCTCCCCATGTTCGCATGGGTTTCTTCTCCAAGACATCCTGGTAGGTTAAATGTCGTCTGGAAAAACTGGCCCTGGTGTGTGTGTGTGTGTGTGTGTGTGTGTGTGTGTGTGTGTGTTGCAATGGCGCCTGTTACTTGTCGGGACAGGCTCCAGCTCACTCTCCAGTCTGTGCTGGATAAAGAGGTTTAGAAATTGGAGGATTGAACACCTACAGTAGGTATGACAGAGGTATGTGTACTAGACCCCCTTTTCCTCACTAACATGCCAAAAAATCCCCAATGTCCAAAGGACCTTTCCTATTTCACAACAAACGCAACAATTTCGGGAAAAAACAACCCCAATATTTGTGTAAGAATATGTCAATTCACCATCATGTTATTTATAGCCACGACAGAACTGACCTCTTCGACAGTCCAGAATGACGCCTGTGCCTGTTTATACATCTTCCAAATGTCAGGGTACTGAATGGGGAAAATGACAAACCGGAGCGGGTTCTCTCTGAGAAGAGGTTCGCATTCGGCTCCTGACCTGTCCTCTTCCGTCGTCTCTGCGAACCCATTCTAGGAAAATGACCATAATTAATTAAATATATTTTTAATTTTTATTATCACCAATAATTATAATAATAATCATCATCATCACCTTGCGTTCAAGACCACAGTAACACTTAATGGGAAAAAAAGGTATTTTTTTCTGATTTCATCATTTCAATATTCAGGCAGTTTATTTCTGAAAGAAGACAAATTCTAATACTTTAAGCAGACATTTATCTTTTTTTTCTTTCATGAGATGTTTGGCAATCTGTTCTAATGACTTTTCGTCTACACCTAAGACGAACGTGAGCACTACCAGAGCATTTTGATGACGTCTACATTATGATTACGCTAAATACAATGGACGATTTGCCATGGATGTCGAAGGCATTTAAATTCGTCATATCTGCTGAAGTACGCCGTTGCCAGTTTTAACTCGTTTTTTAAATACCGTTTTGGTTCTAATATAGACTACGCATATTAAACGTGTTTGTTTCGTTTTTTATGATAAACAAACATACCGACATCTTACTAACTACATTTATTCTGTAAAGCAAGGTATACGTAACTAACACGCCTTTTCCAACGTATTTCTATTTTTTTAATCTAAATGTCCATGTTAAATATTTACATAACATAGACTCAGATTGAAGACTTGATGAACTGTAATATCTTAAACCATCAACGTACTGCTCTCGGTCTCTGCATTCATTCTTTATTAGCCCCAAAAATACTTTTATTTGATGAATAGCCTGTTTTTACCTCGCTTTTTTGGAGACCAGACTGTGAATTCAGATAGTCCATCGCAAGATCGGGTTCCAACAGAAACAACTAAAGCTGGATCAGCATTTGTTACAACCTGTCTTGTAGAAACACTACAGTGAAACGTGCACTAATGCTCAAAATGTGCGAGACAGCGCCTCTCTTGCTTGCTTGCCTGCACTGCATTTCGGTGACATTACACAAGCTTTTGTTTTCCTGTACTGTACAGCAGGGGGCTGTCCAATCTTGGTCCTAGAGGGCCGGTGTTTCTGTGGGTTTTCATGCCAATACATCTATTAAGAGACCTAAACCAGATGGTTACTGTTCTAAATAGATCAATTGAACTGCATCTCACAGCTCACCCATATCATGCTGCAACTCACAACTGGCAGCCTACTGAAGCTAAGCAGGTGTGAGCCTGGTCAGTACCCCAGGATAGTAACGGAAGCACAATACGGTACAAAGGTGCCGTCCTTCGAATGAAACGGAAAACCCTGACTCTTTGTGGTCATTAAAAATTACGGGGTGTTTCTTGAAAAGAGTAGGGGTGTTAACCTGGTCCTGGCCAAATTTCCCCCACTGACCTTTACCAATCATGGCCTCCTAATAACCCCCCTCTCTGAACTGGCTTCATCACTCTGCTCTCCTCCCCACTGAGAGCTGGTGTGTGGGGAGCGTACTGGTGCACTATGGCTGCTGGCACATCATCCAGGTGGGGCTGCACACTGGTAATGGAGGGGGGTCCCCATTACCTGTAAAGCACTTTGAGTGAAGTGTCTAGATAGATAAGATCTTCCTCATTTATCACGTTTATAGAAGTGTAAGGAATGATTAATTATTGCGTGCTACTGCATTTAAGAGTACTTAAAAACTTGCAAACAGGCCAGCCCTCCTAAGATCTGTGTGGACACTCCTGCTGTATAATCCTGCTCCTTTAGAAATGCAACCAAGTAAAATAAGAAGAGGTCAAAGTCCCTTGAGACCGATAACCTATGAAGATTTGAAATGATAGTTTCTGTACCATAATATAACCTTTAAGTAGGTTTCCTGTTCACTATTGTTCATATGTCCAGAGTTCAATTAATTGAGTGGATGAACACTGGCCAAAATACAGCCTTGACACTGTGGAGACTGCTATGATGTACAATGTTGGGTACCTGTACAGCTGTACTGTAGAAAATGAGAAATACTCTGAACCAGATGGGGAAAAGAATCCTTATGCTTTCAGATCTTGTAGCCAAATCAAGTTTGAGGAAATCACATCATCCTCAAAACATAAAAAAAAAAGTTTTAATCAACAGCTTGATTAAATTTAACATCGTTAAAACTGGTGCTTTGCTGGGCACCTCTACATCAGCTCCATACCCAAGATTTTCCTTTACCCCCCTGAAATCTGTAGTTGTTCACATTTTAATTAGATATATAAATATTTATGGTTTATGATCCTATTAGTGTTGCAGTTGACTAGGTTCACTACAGCAGGTAAGCCAGTCCAGCCATCCAGAGTCATACAGGACTGTCACTAAACAGATAGGTTGAATACGGACAATGCTCTTTGGGACATAACTCGCATACACTTTAATATACAGCGAGGTATCTGGTAGAATGAAGAATGAGGTTTCACAGCAAAGATCTTAAGAAAGCTTTAGAACCCATGGCCCCAAGAAAACAGAAAATGCAAGATTTAAAACAATTCAAAATTTCTCATGCAGGACAAGCCCCATGACAGTCTCATGCCATTCAGTTCAGTATTAAATTAGAACACTAAGCAGATGGCTTGGTTAGCAAAGGAAAACTGAGCTCTAAATAATTCACTAAATCTCTACTTCACTATTTAGGGGGTGAAGTACTAATACTGCAAGTAAATACGTATAATGGTTTCCTAAGACCAGTTATATCCTGCAAAGTGACATCTCAACCACAGAACATTAATTCATAATTATGTATTTTTTTCCATGTTTTAATGATTTATTATTGCATATTTTGTCTCCCTGGCTAAGCATATTTGATCATCAAAAAAATAGATTAATTTGTTTGCTAAATTGAATCGAGGCACATTGAAACATGAATGTGTGGGCAACAACTCAACATCTAATGAAAAGCCAGGACAAAAGACTAAAGGAAAAGGTGAACCAAGTATTCAAGGATAAAAATATAAAGTAGAAAGTATTCTAAGAAAATCAATGTTATCTACTAAGTCCACATATCAATACATTTTGAAGACTATATTACGCCTAATTTTCATTGGTACTCCTGTGTTCAGAAGTATGCCTACTGTAGTTTTCCTATCTCATCATTTCACGATCCAAGTTTTATAGCAGACATTTGGAAAGACAAGCTAGAAATTGTAATATTTTATTGTAATGTATTGTATAAATATTTTATTTTTTATAAGAAATAGTCACCACCATCATTTTTTCTAATAAGCAGAATTTAATCAAATGAACTTACAATTCTAGTGGGGTTTGGAAGAATCAACTTATTTTTGTACTGTCACTGATCAGAATGTCATAAGAATGTAGTCACCACCACAATTCTGTGCATGTGTTGTGCATGAAACGTATAGCTATTGAAACCCGAGAGAACAAACAAAAAAAAAATGTTTCCATCCTCAAGTTTATTTTGAAATTCCCTACTCCCTCTATACAAGAAAAAATTGAGACTTTCCACAAAGGCAGCAGTGAAATTCCAGTGATATTTAAGTATTCTGTTCTGGGCAAAAAAAAATCATAATCACAGTGTAACAATTACAAATTTCTGCTGTCATCTTTGGCTGGGGCTAGTCTAACAGTTCAATGGCTAGCCAGATACCCAGGAGGTTTCAGTCAAAGCTGGTAGAGCCAAGAGCTGTGGGCGTTTAACTTTACAGACCCAATGCAGGAATGTATGTTTATTCAGAACTCAGGAAAAAAAAAAATGTGACCGCCAGGGATGTGACAGCATTTAATTTCATAAAATAGTATAGACAATTAAAAAATAAATCTACAAAACTGCAACTAGTAATATTACACAACAAACACTTCTTTTTCCGTTAAATTCTACACGAAACCAAAGTTCTTGGTCTTGATGGCTAGTAAGAGTTTTTGCTTGAGAATCTGTTTGGAGGAGTAGAGTGGCACGTAGAGGCGGGAGATGCAGGTGTTGGCCGTGGGGAGGTGCTGGTCGTCCGGGGGGCGTATGGTGATGGATGGCATAGGCTGGAATCCCTCTTCGCTTGCAGGCAAAGATGGGCTGGATGTCCAGAAGTAAACCTGCATGAAAGGACAAAAACAAAAAAATCATCACTCCCTCTCCCTGAACTTTCCAGCTCCAAGTTCAAAACCACCTTATACATTTTAAGCCACAAGGAATGTACTGTGGCCAAGGAAGCCTCTTCACTCCAGAATTCACTATAAAATATTACAGCATCTTGCAAAACCACGATTATACATTTCAGACAAGAATAATCCCTTACTAGATCCTGTCTCTCGGTCATGCTCATTTTCTCCACGATTGACCAAAACCAGCGCTTGAACTGCAACAGCTTCTCTGCGTTTTCCCCTGTTAATAAGAAGTGAAAACATGTTAATGAACAATAACATACTTTCCTCAAGGTGAAAAATCCAAAGTTATGTTTCATGCTATCGATAGATACAGCTTCAGTTTTTACTCTCAAGACACCACGCCCACATGACATCTGGGAATTCTGCTGCTTGAAACCCCAAGCTATAACCAAGATCTCCTTCCAACTGCTTGGAACCCTTCTTATTTGTCATCAGACGTGCACATTAAGATCAATTTTGTGAAAATGTCAGCTACTCGAGCTTACTCCTGCGGTATCCAGAGAGAAGTCCAAAAATTATTTTGAAGAAACCTTGATCAATTCATTGTCTTGATTAGTTAGGTAAACAGAACAGCCATAGAAAAATATTCCATACCCGATTCATCATTAAACGAGGTGAAGCTAATCAGCATCTGTACATTGACTTCTCCACAGCCGTTGACAAGAAGGCGGAAATCCTCGGCGGTAAGGTCTTCAAGAGAGTTCTTGGGAAGCACATCCAAAAGGCCTTTCCTCATTGCCTGAATGAAAAATGTTGTATTGTTCATAGCTGCTATGCTAAACATTTTCTTTTTCTAAAGTTATTCAAAACTCAACCCCCTCCGATTTATCCAGAGCAAAGTGAAATAGCTTTTTACTTGGCAAAGACAAAACAGACATCACCTGAACTGCCATTACTGACTGGTCGGCGCCTATCCCTAAAGGCACAATCACGTGAACCAAATTTGTCCGGAGAGTTTATGCCAAGCCACTAATACTCACATGTAACGATGGCTCTGCCACCACTAACATCCGGTGCTCTGCATATTTCCTCACGTACTCGTATACATTCAGAGGAGTGACTGGTATATTTACACCACCGGACACAAGCTCCACCTAAAATAAAGAATTGGTTAAGTCACGCGAGTTTTCTGTGCCTTCAGAGACTTCAGAAAGAAACAGGACCACATGAATGTGTATAGTTTATGGTCACGTCTGTCTTTAGTCTGAACATGTTTGTTCCACAACTTTATTGGGAATATTTTATCTATTGTGCTTCATTAAAAATCTGTACAGGACTAATTAAAATAAGTATTAAGTGTTTCCTACCTGTCCTCCTCCTTCCTCTTTACAGAGGTCAATTGCAAATGCCAGATCCATAGCTGCAAAGACAGCCTCAGCATCGCCACTCTGAGAGGCCAGGATCAGTTGTCGCAAACTCTCGTACATCACAGGATCAAAGAATGCAAAGTCATGCCAGTTCACCTAAATAAAAATGATATCTCATAAATAACACAAAGGCCACCAGCACTGGAAAATAAAAGTAAACAAGAATTGACAGTCATACCTTTCTTCCAAGCAAGACCTTGATGACATGTCTGTTCAATGTAATAGGGCATAGCTCATTCTGCAGAAGGCACAGTCCAAGTATTCTGTAAAAGGAAGAAACCGCACAGAAAATTCAAATAACCTTCATGAATCTCTCTACCTGGAATTGTCAGACTGGACTTTCTTCTCTGTTTTATATTTAATGGCACCGATGCTAACCCATACCTGCCAATGTTTCGGAAACAGTTGAGCCGCGTCTCGCTGCTCTTGCCTGGTCTGGGGGAGTAGAAGCCCCTCTTCCCGGGCTGGTAGAAAAGAGGAGCGTTGTCGTCCCCGTCGTCGGGGTCGTCCAGCTCCATGTCCACCACGCTGCGGCTGGAGCCGTGCCTCTTCCGGTTCTCCTGCTGCGGACAGCGAACACAGCCCTCAGCCCCCTGGACTCTGCCCTCCGCCCCCAAGCTCGCTTCACAGTCGGTCCCGGTCCGGACAGCAGGCCCTCGCAATGCGGCCAGCTCTCAGGGCTAGATATTTTTCAAACACCCACCCTCTGTTTCTAACAGCCCTCAACTCCATGCCAAATATGTGGTCAGATACATCGGAAAGGGTTTCAACAGGTTTAGGCAGGCTCTATCAAGGGGTTTGATGTACGTCTGTATGCTTAATAGAAGCTTTGGAGAAAAAGGCTTCAGCAAAGCTGTAAAGCATACACAAAAAACACCACTACTGCAGCACTCAGTTTGCATATAACTAAAAAGATACTGACGAAGCTCGGAGTCTTACCTGTGACTTTTCTGAGGAATCTAACAATCCAAGATCCAATATACTGTCAGCCCCATTTTCTCTGTGGAAATAAATGATTTGAATGAGAACCGGCTCCACAAGCACCTCATTTAAAACACCAGAATGGTCTTTCGTCCTTACCTTCCGTGAGCAATGATGAGCTCCATGGCCTCTTCCACTCGTGCACGTAGTGAATCTTCACTGGCAAGGAGCAGCAACAGCTGTGCAGGGGAAAGTTCTAAAAGCATTCCTGTGATTTTGCTGGCAAAAGCCTAAAAGAAATCGCAGTCAGTAAAATAATCGTATTAAAAAGTTTTTCTAAAAACATTTAAAAGATGAATAGATCTTTAATGATTTCCTAGCATGCAACTCTACCATTTCTCCAACAGTCAATGAATGCCGATTTTGATACAATCAATCATGGCATTATAGCCTGTTCTACAATGGGGTAACACTGATGCATTGTAACTCACGAGCTGCTGTGCCCAAGGAAATACCTAAATCTAACACTAAAGCTGATTGACACATGTAAACTGAAATCTTCTGCTGGATGCCTGCCTTCTACATACTGTCCTGTTTCAGATGGATTTAGAAATCAGGAATGGAAGACGTCTCAGGAAATAATGTATGATAAGCTGATCTGGCATCTCCATGTTGTACCCAATATTTTCATTGCTCAGTTGTCGATCAGCTATTTATGGTACCCAATGTTTACTTTTAATTTTCTGTTGCTAATGCCAGCAACAAAGCCCACAGGTCTCAATCTATAATGGATTGTAAATCAACATTTCCTGGTGGCACTTCATGAAAAGGTACCAAACCTCTATTATATTTATTGCGTTTGAGGAACGGACTACTGGATAATCCCAGGTCTGGAAGAAACAATGCAGGGAAAATGACAGAGAAGCACAACCAGCGGGTTTCAGCAGCACACCCACAGCGCGCGTGTTTATCTGATCCTTCAGAAAAGGCTTACCGGCTGCATTGCCTGCACGCGTGGATACAGCCTCTCCCCCAGGGCCTGCCGGTGTGCTGGCAGGGGGTCGGGCTCATCGCTGGGGTTGCCTTCAGAAGCTGGTCTGAAGGGCCGGGTGTCAACCGAGAGCTGCCTCCTAGAATCCCTTAAAAAATAACACGCGTTACGCACATATGGGCGGGCGGCTGCCAATGCACAAAGGTGTATGGGAAGAAACAAAAGCCAGAGATCTTGAAATTTTTATCTGGCGTCATCCTTTTCTCCCAGAAGCATTCTAATAATTCTAAAGAGAAATGGTAAATTAACTTGAGCTATTAATAAAAATCAATTACAGATGTGGAGCACAGATGCTTTAAATTGGGGGGGGGCTTTAAAACGTCATTGGCTTATCCCTCACTGTCCCTCACTATCCCTCACTAAAGCTACTGTCTTTAGCCAACTGCAACGAGGACATCCCATAACAGTGATGCTGAATTGGACAAGAAACAAGAAAGTCTGGCTTTCCATACAACAGCCACTCCTGAGACCACTAGTGCCTGGGGCACCTTGTCTCTTTGGGAGTTTCCTCTAATGCCAGTTGTCAATTAGAAACTTAAACCTAATTTTCTTAACTATACATTTTATATAGGTCTTAAAAGTCTTTTAAAGTTGATTGCAGCAGATATTCATGTAATGAATGGTACAGCGACCCATAAACCCCACCCCCAGAAGTATTTAAAAGTTTTAAATACAGGAAGTTTATTAGGCCAAATATGTAACTCTGGACTGCGGGTATAGCAAAACCCAGAAGACACCAGGTCATCGAGGACTTGAGTCGGACATCTGTAAATGAAAAGTCAAAATAGGAAAAATAGTGTACAGGGGGTACACTTACCGATCTCTATCTCTACGAGAACCTGCTCGTAATCCCCCACTCCTCCTCTCTCGCTCCCGGTCTCTGTTCCTCAGACGCTGCATTAGATCTGAACACATCAAGTAAGATGTAATTAAGGCGGAAAAAAGGGGCACTATTTCTGCAACACTGTCGTTTTCACTGAGGCTCAAGTCAAAGTCTATACAAGCCAAACGTTAATTTAAATCCGCTACTTTTCTATGGCCTATATGCATACCCATTTAAATATTTTGACCAGACTGATTTTCTCTGGACCTGGTTCTTCATGCGCGACTGATAAAAAGTACTTTCATTTAGACCATTAAAATACATTTAAAAGGTAAAAAGAGCTTTGGAAAGGAAAAGTTGGGAAAAATCCCCAGCTCTGTCGTAAAACATGGTCCTGGCCTTTGGCTCAGAACAGGAGTAGTTTTCTCTTTTTTTCACTGCAGCTCCACGTCTCTGTCCAGGCTTAATGTGCCTTCTACTGCTCCTCTCCCTCCTGCCTCCAGTCTCTCGTTACTCCCTACATCCCACTCCATCTCCTCCATGTCTCCCGATCTCCTGGCGCTTCCTCAGAAGTCACCGGCCGACACTTCGGCTTGCTCTGCCACTGCTGGCTCCCATACTGCTAATACTACCAGCTACTATATGATGCTCTTCATTCACTGTAATTATTCTGCACTGCAAGACCACCAGTAGTGCATTTTTAACGCATATATATAGAAAATGTATGATAACGCATTACATTTCTACAATATGCATATTAATATTTAAGTAGTTCAGGTGGGTAGCTGCGTCAGAATGCATAGGCTGCAAAGGAACAAGTAATAGGTTTATTCCATGCTGAGAAAAGAAGAAAGACAACAATGTTTTGGCCGTGGAGCCTTCTTCGGGTGTCACGGTATCAAGAAACCACACCCAAAACGTTGCGTTTTCTTTCTTCTCTTTGCAACATGGAATTAACCCATTACTTGTCCCTCATTAATATTTAAGTTGTATTTAAATTTTGATTTTTCTTCTTCAAATTAACGTGGACAAAAGTGTCGAACTAATAATGAAACTATGAATAACCACAAAGCCTGAATAAGGGCAAACACGGAGTCTATGTACATGTATAAATCAGAAATATACAAAATCGGATGCACAAGGAGAGAAAAGTTTAATATCAGAGTTTTTACCTGTCACAAATGGTCAAGTGAATACCAAAACATCTGAAGGTTGTGTAGGTTCCTTAGATATAACATTCGACTCTTTGATTTGCTCCTTCATCACTCATACTTACTGCTGGCCTGCATGCCTTTGTTGGTGTTCTGCACGAAGTCTAGGTTGGGCAGCTTCTCGTTGGACAGGAAGGCCTGGGCGACCGCGGTGTAAAAGCTACGCGCCACCCCGCTGCCCTCCCCCGGCTCGTCCTTGAAGGTGACTTTGACTCGGTGGACGGCCATGGGGGTGGTTGTGCAGCGCCGACCGAAGTGCGTGTTCAGCTGCCTCATGGTCTGCTGGATAAGCTGGTCCCGGTCCCGGTCCACCTCCAGGGCCAGGTCTCTGGACTGCTGGTTCCGCAGCTTCTCCATCTCGCGCCGGAACTTCGACTCCTTCACCTCGAAGCCGCCCAGCTCTGTCAGAATCTGCGCCCACGACAAAGCCATGCTTTGATATAGCGGCCACACTGCCATGGCCCTCCCCCTACCTCTACCAGGCCGAAGCAGGAACTGCTAAGGGACGCAGCTTAACCAGACTCAGTTCTACTACAAATTACAGGTTTTTTTTAAAAAATGGAAGTTTGCTGTGAATCGTTATCATATTAGATCTTGCAGTCAAAAGCACAAAAACTAAAGTGATGCACGGTTTGATGACAACCTGGTCAGACAACTGAAGCTACGTCTTGCTGTTGAAGCCCGTCAAGTAAAAAGTTTGTGCGCATTTGCCACAATATTTCACTTCACTTTAAATTTATACCTAATGTGGGCTTTTACCAACTCTTTTATGGTTTTTGATGTATTGACTTTAGTCTTGTAGTGCACAGCACTACATACTGTGGATTTCTTAAAACACTTCACCCCCTCCTCTTAAAAACAAAAAAACACTCACTGATCCAGGTTCAGCTCCAACATCTTCCATGAACACCCGTCCAAAAAGCTCTAAAGACAGACGCCATCGCCCCAGAAGCATGTCATGAGATATTACCATTCCCATGAAACTGCAATGAGGTCTGTTAGGGAAGGGAGAAAAACAGTTCAGGATTCCAGGTTTTATTTTTGTGGAAAAACAGTCATTACAGTGATAAACTTTAAATTGTAATGGTGTAATCATTAAAATGTTAACTAAATTGTGGAGTCAAACAGCACCTGGCAAAGGAGGCACAAAATGTCAAAATCAAAGGGAAAAATAGGGGCTAAAAATTAAGAGTAAGGGCATTAATTCAGACTGGTGTCCAGTGATTATGTTCCTGAATCCTGCTGTTCTGTCCAAATGTCCAGAACTCAAAAATGATGTTCACCCCTTGAAACAGTAGGAGCCACATTCCGTGTACAGAATTTACGTCATGGCTTATATTGAATGATAAGGGATATCAGGTTATGCGAGTAAAGAATTTTAAACAATTACAGTAAATTTAAATAAGCTGAATATGTATCTCAGAGAAAGAAGTGCGTCAATATTTGCAGTTTAATTACTTCTATCTAAAGTTGTTTTTGCTCTAAATCTTAAAAAAAAAATCAGTTACTGGATGACACCATGTTTGCACTTTTGCTATTGCATACATTTGCTATTATGAATGTGAAAGAAAGCACAAATAGGTCACCAATTCACACACTGAACACAAAGTTGTGTGGACATAAAATGGTGCCAAACTACTGTTTGCCAATGCTGTGAACATCCAATCCTTCAAGGTTTGCAACCATGACCAAATGTTTGCAAGATTAAGTAGTAAATACTTTACAGGGAAGTCCTTCATAAGTACAAACACTGAGAAGTCAAACAACATCTGCACCAGCATTCTTAAGGCAGATGGCATGGACACAATATTACAACTTGACGGTGACGGAAAACTTTCATTCTTGTTCTTTACGTTTGGAGAAAAGGGTCGTGGGAGCTCATGGAAATCCCTCTTAACAGATCTATTTGTGCATCTTTCCTGGCTGTTTCCAGCGGAGGACTGGTACTGAGCCTGCTGTGACGGATGAGGTGAAGAAAGCGAAAGCACACCTGAAGGAGGTGAGAGGCGGCCCCTCGCTCTCCGTCAGCCCGATCTCCGCCAGCAGGCTGCTCTTGAGCTGTGCGGCCAGGTCATGGGCAGAGGGGCCAGGTTTTGTGCCCTCGGGCTCTTCTTCAGGCAGAGCCTGCTCCTCACTTGTCTTCTGACGAGACTGCATGCTCATGACATTCTTCATATTCGCAGAGTAAGACATTTTAGTTGGCAGCACCTATAGGAATGAGGCAAAAAGCTTGATTTGGCACATCCTTAAAAAACACCTGCAAGCTGGTCAAAACAATTACAGTTGTATTTACATTTCAGTCACTTAGATTGCATATTTTTGTAAATCATACACAAAAGACTATACTGTATAATGGAGTCATTCCAAGGGGAATTCACATTAAGACCATGTACTTCAATTTTTGAGGGTTTAACAGATACATATGCCACAATATTGCATTTCACTTTGAATGTTTCACTAATGTGGGCTTTTACAGTTCCCTTTTAAGGTTCTGAATGGACTTGACTGCAGCATTCCAGTTATCATACGTGGAACTACAGTTTCATTCCAACCAGAAAAACTGGGAAAAAAACTCCCAAGCAGAACAAGACTAATTCAAAGTGGTTTTCAAATATAAACTGTCTTGGTGAAACATGGAAATGTCCATCAGAACTAATCTACAATCGCAAAATATTATGAGAGCATACAGAATTAATTGGGGTTGTAATAAATGGCGAACTAAGACCAAGAGAACAAGCATGCCAGTTCTGTGTGAATAGTAACTTCTATTGCAGGGGCTGCAGTCCTGGTACTGAAGGGGCAGTGTCTCTACAGGTTTCCATCTGTGCCCTTTAATGCCATAGATCAGCTCACAACTGGCTTAAATGGACTATTGTAACAGCTTCTCCCAGCCCTTACAGAGTTGCTGTAAAGAGCCCTATAAAGCTAAAGAACAAGGATAGGGGACCACCGCTCTGTAAATATTTAAAGGTAGTGCAAACAGTTGTTCTACCAGACATGAAGAAATGTTAGTTTGTTTACCCATGGCACAACCTACTGGCCGGAGCGATAAAGAGTTCAAGATGACACCTAATGAATAATCCCACTGGAAAATACACTTATTTTTTATTTAATTTAAAGGACTCCTTTGATTGAAATGATTAATTCCAAATTCAAATTACGGAATCATCACAAGAAGCTTTTAATATGACATTCACAGGAGTCTAATGCTTGAGCAAATTAGTTTATGATAATGCATAGGATGATACCACGAGAGACTACGGTACTTTATTACTCATTAAACACTTCTAAATTCAGAAAGTCAATTAGTGAGAGGAGTCAAATGAACTACTATAAAGGATATGAAAGGTTTGTAGAAACCTTTCACACCCTTTAAAGTTTTATGAAATAAGATCTATTCTGTACAGTGCAGGTTTAACAGTTTATCATGAAGGGTACTGATAAAATACATTAAAATACACATCTTTACCTCCAGACAATTTCTGTCCACAGTCACCTCAGTCAGCCCTTTGCCTGTGTTGTACGAGGAGGAGTACAGACCCTGGCTAGGACGTCCGAAAAGATCTTCTTTTCTTGCATTTGGCTGAAGAGAAAACAGCTTTCAGCACTGGAACTTAAGAATGCGTTATGTTTATAAATATAAATTAAAGCTCAACTATAGTTTTTGGGCCAAAATGCAACTCGAAGCAAAGAACATGTAAATAAAACATTTTAATGTTGTTTTTAAAAAAGCCATTTGACCAATCTCATCATGTGATAATTTTCTAAAACGAACAGTGTCACCACAAAGTAACAAGTAACTACATCAGCTCTGCTGAGAAAAAAGGAAATGCATTTCACTACTCCATAAGCAAACAGTAACAGCAAAAAGGTCTTTATTTTTATTTTTTAAGGTGCCAAGGCAGGGAAAGAAAGGATGTTAATATGAATGTTTTAAGCCACACAATAATTCTAAAAGATACGCATGTTTAACATTCAATAAATAAAAGGATGATATTGAACAATCAACTAAGAATCAGCTAAAGCCCCCAAAAGGGAAAAACACTCAGATTACTCACTGCACTTTAAATCAATGGCATTTAAAGGGAGCACTGACAACACAAAACGGACAGTTGTGCAGTACAACTCAAACATTAACAGATTAAAAATTACTTCTGGTATAACTATACGAACACCTTGCATGAAAGATGTGTTTTTTTCCCCCATTTAGAGGTAAAAACCTCTGGTTGGGAAGGACCCCCCACCCCAGTTACATTCATTCCTATGGGGAATCCTAATTTACTTTTTTCAATCATGCTGCATTTGACAGGAATGCATCACCACTGTGATAAGTAAACGAGCAACACTCAATAAAGAGATGGATTGCTTTAGAAAAAGGGGACGCTGTCCCACAATGCCACAGCATCTAGCTGTAAATTACCTTCTACCGAACACAAGGCAAACACTTCTTTATGATGGAGTGATATCTCCGTCAATACATTTTCTGGAACACGGATCCAAGCATCATATCCAAACTAGAAACAATTTTCCAATTTGTTATCCTCCTGGACTGGACAGACCTTATTCAGGTATGCAAGACCACCACAATCATATTCCCGGACCAAAGTGAGATGGCTTTCACTACCTTGAAATAAAGTTTGGCTCATTTCCTAGGGGCTATAAGTTACCACAAAAAGCGTAATGCCGACTCAACTGAGAAAATGAGCAGCATGTATTAATACTATTTCCGTCAACCTGGGCACAGTGAAATACTGACAGTGCATTGTGAAAAGCAAAGCAAAACGAAGCCGAAGGCCAGAATGTGGTGGTGGGACACTTACACACAAGAGCAATGGGAAGAAGTGGTTGAATGGAGCTGGCCTTCCTGCCTGCAGAGTTGGGACCTTTACCTGTAACAGGTGAGGCTGGTCAGCCAGGGGAATGGCTTCCGCCAGGGGCACCTCGAACGGGTTGGGAGGGATGCAGCCCAGAAAGGTCATCGAGTCAGAGCGGCGGAAGAAGGGGTGGTTCTGGCCCGTTTCTGCTGGGAGGGGTTCCTCATCCTTGTCGTGGAGGGCAGAGCCTAAAGAATGGTTAAGCGTCAGCCTTATAGGAGTTGTGCAAATGGCCTCACCTGGGTACTCAAAACAGCTGCAATGTCAATTTCTCTCTACTGCTATTTACAAGGCAGGACCATTCGTTTTCCAAAGGCAAAAATATTAGAAAATGTTTAACCCCTATATCTTGCTGCCTGCAGCCAAAAAATTGTCTTGAAAAGAAGAGTAACGACAAAAAATAATCAGCATGGCTCATAGCTGAAACTCAGGTGACACTTCTCCTTTAATAGTGTAGAGAAAAACTGTATCGGTAACTGCAGCAATTTGAGTTAGAACTTACATTTTAAGCATGGAATAAAATCACTTTCAGAAATGCTTATCCATAATGTTTTTTAAAATCTTGAAAATGCGAACTTGCAAGAACTCAAATTTTACTCCAAACCATTTCATCTTCAGCAAAAGTTAAAGCCCCAGAGTTTTTAAAATATTAAGAAGAAATGATACAAGAGTTATATTCAATATTCAACATTGTTTCAATAGGCTGTTTAACTAAGGCATTTTAGGTTTCCCAATTCCTAATCTGACTCTACCTTTCCAATGTGATATCCTCCTCCTGCCTCTTTTTTGCCTTAAAGTGATCTTTCTGTGCCTGTCTTCCACTGAAAGAGAACCTACTCGAAACACCAAGTATACTGTTAAAACGTGGAAACGTCACATGATTTAACTCTACCAGGTATTAAAGGTTTCAACACCTTAGCATTCTTGACATTACACATGTACTTTAAGAAATGTTCTAATAATGTGCCGTTTTTCTTGGGGAGCTTCAACACTGAATGGCTAGAGCATTCCTACCCTCAGGCAACTTACTCTGATTAGTGTCTTCGTCATTTTCATGTTCAGAGTCTTCATTGTCCAGTCCCAACTCTAAAAGCTCACGGGTTCTAAAAACAAAATGGAATTGCACATTACAGAAGAACCAGCATCCCAACTGAAGAGGACAGCAGTACCTGCCAAGCTTGCCATAAACCTAACTTGATAAAGTAAAACATTTTAATTAAGAGTGACATTGCTTTGGACACATGATCTCGAGAACTGAGTCCAGTGCGTGGCCTCCACCACTTTCCCCTCCCCATAAAAGAAAAAAAATACAGATGCTTCTATCGGATGATTACTTAAAAAACACACTGCCCCATTTCTAAAAAGCAACTTCCCATCTTCATATACTGCAGCTTTTTAAAAAAAACAGTTGTACATTACCTCTTTCTCTCCAGCTGAGGTGTGTCCAAGGTGGTCTGCTGGTTCATCGCCTTGATCCAATAAATAAGTGCTTGAAACACATATGCCACGTGTTTGAGCGAGCAAACATCCAGGACAGGCAGGACATCAGAGTGCTCATCATTGTGAGAGCGCATTAAAGACAGGGCGTAGTTCAGGAAGTCTCCTCTCGCCGACATCATTCCCTGCCGAGCGCTGAGCAATGTAGCAGCACGTCTAAAACAAACACAGGGCTCTTGTTCAATGAGCTGCTTAGCCTCAATTCTCCTGCGGCTGCGATCAGGAAGCCTAATAAAACTAGACCATTGCAATGCCGTCTGTCTAGCTTAACTCTTCTGCTGCCCGGCTGGTTTGGAACACTGTCACTGTTCTGCCTGCCCAGGCAAAAGCCCACCAGCATTTCAGAAGAGTGTGACCTGGTCGCTTCCCCTCCTGCCTGACAAGGTACTGCACGCTACACAGGTCTACCATCAAGCAATGCCTATGAGCTTCATAGACTTTTAAATCAATCTTATATTTGTTTTGAAAAAGGAAAAACTGCACCAACGTAAACTAATTTCATCCTTTCAATTGCTGCTCATGCTTTCAGTAATGAGGCAAGTACATCACACGTGATTTACAAAAAATCAATTTGAGAGATTCGATTACCAGATAAACAAAAGGTGCAGTCATTTACTCAGACCGATAATCACAGCATCACTTGACAAGGAAAAAAAGTTTATGAATGTAATAGTTAGCCAGACGTTTTCTTGCAATTAATGTTTTACTAATATTCTTAATTTTAAGTGACACTGTCCGCATTCAAAAATTTAAGCCAACTTTGGAAATAGCAATATGGAATGAATCGTGAAAGGAAAAGAATTGGTTATTGCCAAATTAAGATTTATTAAATCGGACACAAAACCCTCAAACTCTACAGCACTGCCACTGTCGCAACATAAACACAAAAGCTACACCTGTGCAGACTGAAACATACCTACTCCAGAAATTTCTCACTGAACTACAGCAATTCTTTTTCAGTTCATAACTTACATACCCCAAGCAATACCAACAACCAGGGTTTCAACGCTCAAATAAGTAGCAAATGTGAACTCTTCACAACTCTTATCTGGTGGGAAAGAAAATGTTTTAAGAATCAGTATGTTTTACTCTAAAGTTTAATCTGAGTGTAAACCACTCTTTTGCCATGGGAGAAAAAAAAAAAGATTCTATTCGTTTTTGTCAATTCAGACTTAGGTACCTATGCCAAACTTCTTGTCTGATATAAATTCAGCCAATAACCAAACCATACTGACAGTAAAAAAAGCGCACACTTCCTGTACTGGCCGTGCAGCAGCGTGCAGAAGGGAAACGGCTAGCGGAACGGTACCTGCGGCCCTCCAGCGTGCGCAGGCTGGCCTCCTCCCGCGCAGTCATGCGCTCCCTGCGGCCGGAGTGCTGCGAGGCGTGCAGGGGGTGGCTGGGGTGCCCGGGGTCGCCTGCAGAGGACAGCGCAGAGCCGTAGCGCAGCTGGGCCTCTGTGGAGTCCATGATGCTCACCATCCAGTTCCATGTCGGGATCAGCTTCTCTTCCACATAGTTCTGAATTCCAACCAAGAGTGGACAGACTCAATACAGTTGCATTTTTATATTATATTTTATATTAGTGAAATATTAAATTTGTGTTTCTTAATGTTTGTAAACATCTGTTTACAAAGTTGCCTAACTTTCACGGTCTTCACAAACTTACCCAAGTAAACACCTCTGTCTCTAAAACACACTTCTACATACGTAACCTTTCATATCCAATTCCTAACTCTGCTTTTATTAATTAATACATTTCCACGCCTCACACCTTGTGGTAGTGAGCCTCTGTTCAGAAGGTTAGCCTTCCACAGTGAGAGGCCTGTAGCCCAGTATCACACCTGTAAATTGACAGCATCCTGGTAGGTGAGTTTGACAGCCGCAGGTATCTGAGAGTACACCAGGTGGTTGTACTTGGGGATGAGGCCCATGAGGTCGGAGATCTGTCGGATGACGATGCTGTAGGCTCTGGCTAAGCTGCTGGCTGATGTCAGGTAGCTGCTGGAGTTGCTGGCCTCAAGAGCAGCAGCTGCAGCAGCTGCACTGGTACTGATGGCACCACTTCTTCGTAAGTTAGATGGGTCTATGTAGATGAGTCCCGTTGAGCTGGCTGCAAGAACAAAGTCAGATGACAGGGGTTTGTTGTAAAGTAACCAGTGAATGCATGTTTGTCTGAGAGGCTTGAGCACTTGGTGTCCTTTTACTCAATCCAACTACATAAATAAACTTAAGAAAGAACATACACCATTATGAACAAAGTGAAATGAACATTTCCTTTGAAATGGTTACACCACACTGATATGCACAGACTAAAAATCAAATTTTTAAATAAACTGAATTTAAAACATGGCCCCAAGAACTGTAGATTGAGACCTGTATGTCTGAGAAATTTTTCATTTTATCTTGCCAGCCCTGCTGCTTCCTTTGCAGTGATATGTGCAATTTTTAAAAAAATTGAAGTTGTTACTATATTGTCTACCATGTACAGGACCAAATAGAAAAATGTGGGTACAGCACAGTCATTACGCTTATGGGATTCAGACCTCTAGATAAATTGCTCACTCAGGCTATCACACAACTGGGCTGTGAAAGTATTCTCCTAAGATACTGAGACAAGTAGTTATGGAAACGGTAACACTGAGTTACAGAGTTACAGTATGAGGCTAATATGAAAATGCAGATGTAAACTAAGCAGCAGAGGGAGTGATGCTCAGCTGATGGTGCCCAGTGTTTTTACCTGCAGGCGTGGAGGTGCTGGACGGGGCGCTGTTGGTGGCTCTTTGGCTCTGGGTGTTGCGTACTGCCCATTGCATTGACCGCGGTGCCTGGGCTGCGCTGTTGGCATGCGAGCTGCTGGTGGTCCTCTCCAGGGGCTCGTCCACCATGAACGTCTCCTGGTCCACGTCATCGCTCTGGCTGCTGCTGCTGTCCGAGTCGCTCGAGTCATTCGACTGGGAGTCGTCCTCTGAAAAGAAGGCAGGGACACTGCTGGCACCTTCAGGAGGAGGGATTCAAAACAAAGACAGTTCAGTGTGGGCAGAACAGGGGCTGGCCGCTCCCCCTACTGAGATGCAGGAAACACTCGTTAGTTCTCAAAGCCACCGCAAGACACATGCCACCACTACTAGACACACATCACTAGGGTTCACCGTGAAAAATATGAATTGGAAAAGCAGCGATATTAAAACTTCACAGTCTCAGATAAATAGTAGCTCGACTAGGATTTTTTTTACTGTAAAAAATGGCATGTTTTCCTTTTTTGCCATCATGCAATCCCAAACTTACAATTTATCAGTTAACTGTTAAACCTTCATCACTAGTGGGTAAGCCAGAATCACATCAAAGGAACGAAAAGTGAAACAGAATCCAGAAGCACATCTAACTTTTTTTAAAGATCAATACACACACCAGTTAGCAGGATAAGCCATATTTTTTAGTTTGTTAATTACTACAAAAACAAAGGCAGTTTATATTGTTAGCACAGTAGGTTAACAAACGATAAAGACACTAGAACAAGGCTAACTTGGGGAAATGTCTTCAGATAAACCTGGTGTAAAAAATCAAGGTCACTCTTATCCTGATATATGTATAAATAAAGAGGAGCCCATACCAAACAAAGGAAATGCCAGGGAGGCCCTACTTCCTGCAAATGAAAAATTGTGTGTTCAACCAGAGACTAATTTCAATAGTATTGAAATGTATTACAGATGGATTTACTTTTGTCTACTTTGGAAATATCACTAAAGCCATGGAAATAAGATCCTAAAGCCGTGTGGGTATTCTAATTGACTGCTTTAAAAAAAAAACTTTCCTGAGGAAATTACAAAATATCTGATGCAACTGCACTAACTTACACAAAATTCATTTTAAAACCAGAATATTTGGACAGATGATGGGCTGTGGTAAGTCTGCTTTAAATTAGTGTATTTGACGAGGTAAACAAGACCATGATTGATTGAGGGAGTAACGAATGAGCAATTTTATACTATATCGATCCTAATGCATCTATACATGTACAGCAAAAAGTTTGCAAGACCTTCATCTAAGTTGCACAGTACTATACTGGGAGTGGACAAAAAATGGAAACACCAAGGTAAGGTAATGTAACAATGCAATGGGTCACCACATGTGGCAGTATGACATCATTCTCCCATGAGGAAGTTAATCAACCAAACAGCGTCATCCCAGAACAGCCCATCATTTCTTGATTGGTTTCAGTTCTGGTTACTGTTAAGGCCAGCGCCGTGCTCATCAAACCACTGGGCGACCACATGGGCTGTGTGGGGCCTTGTCATCCTGGCAGATACCCCACAGGTGGGAAAGAAATGCTGCAACACTGGGTGAAGATGATCACTCAGTACCCTTAAGAAGGGGTTAGCACTGACCTCGCTTTCTATGGGAAACACTGCACCCAAACCATGCCAGGAAAACACACCCCACAACATTACAGACCCACCAGAACCCTTTATCAGAGATCTTTTGGGTGGTACCACAAGTCCACTCTCTGTCTGACCATTTCTCCATAGTCTGTGTTCTCTACACCAGGAGGCTCACACGTGTCCACAGTGCCAGTGCACTGTGATGTGCACAACACCTCAACTGTGGTGTATCCCGCTCTGTGAGGATCTCAGTGCACTGTTTTTGATAAAACTGGGCATCATGAACGTGGAATGGCGCCTCCCACTGCTGCCCAATGCCTTTTCCTCGCAGGTCCATGCTGACTATCGTAGACATAGCCGCTCATAAACTCAGCAAGTTGAGCTGTCTTGGTCAGGTAAGCTCCTGCCAAACAATCAACCCTCTTTCAAAGTCACCACGGTCTCCTGTTGCAGCAATGGTAGATTACAATCCTCCATGGTCCAGCATTTTTCTTCATGACCCTAAGCACACTGGGACCTGACATGCTTAGCCCTTGCTTTGGGGAAGTCCTTGGTTTAAATTTATTTGTTGTCCCTTATTTCCCCAGGTGTCTCCTTTTTTGTTCACTACCTGTATATCCTTTTATAGCCAATCACAAGTTCTGTTTTCACAGAGGAAACCAACACCAACATCAGGGAATAACTAAGGATGTCCTTCATCAAAGAGCACTTTTCTTTACCTTGGAAATCACATAACTGAAAAAAATGTAAAGTTCCTCAAGGGAAGAATTTCTATTATGCCAGGATCTATTTTATCTTGATGCAGAAGCAAGGAACAGCACTTCACGAGAAAATGTACCTGCTTCAGAGCCAGCAGTAGCTGCTGTGACAACACTCCTTCGACCGCTGGCATTGTCCTGGTTGCTATGGTTACTTTCACTGTCACTTTCGGTTTCTGCAGCAGCTAACAGATCAAGCTCCATGTCACTGCCTGAATGGGGAGGAAAAAGTAACAGGATTCTTATTAACGGAGGAAAAGAAATGGGTCAATCTGTACACCTCACAAAAACGTTTTTGAAACCGCTTTTGGGAGGTGACTTGATCTAGTCTCACTTGTAGTCCTTTTCTTCTCGAGTTTGTATGTACATACCTCCTGCGTTTAGGTAGTAGATAACAAATGAAATGCAAATGTCCAAATACATGGTAAAAAGAAATATTGATAAATCACACCAATACCGAGACACAAAAACATATCAGGTGTCCCCAGTTTTAAAATGGAGGGGAGGATCATTCACACTGGGGCTGTGCGGATTGCAGGTGGTGGGGGCAGCGGCCTCCCTGCTTTGGCAGTGTTTACCGTCTTCATCGTGCTCATCGTGCTGTCCCTCGGCCTCGGCGTTTTCCTCGCCCTGCTCCTCCTGCTCATCGTGGTGGTCCTCCTCCCCAGCCACCCCCTCCACAACCTCCACCTGCAGAACACATACACACTGCTCAGGGCCACGTCTCCCCCAGCGCATGCGGGGCACAAGCGCGACGAAAAAATCACAGGACAAAAAAACATTTTTTTCATTCTAATTTTAAACAAAATCCTCAATGACAAACCTTCAGTCTCAAATAAACTTACTCCATAAATGAACTGTGGAACAAAGCTGCACAGAAGTGGCCACTGACATCTTCTGTATTAGCCGTTAGATGTTAAGACTTCCTCTGCCAATAATTTATAAGACATTTAAATAAGTGAAAGGTCTCATTCCTTGTTGGACTATAATAACCATTCACTCTGGGGGGGAAAAACTGCCACCATTCAGACGACATTTTACATTACCCTTCACAAATTAGCAATGCAACATAATAAGGGTCTTTTTACAGATGCATACATTTGGAAAAACGCTTTGTTACCTCCTCTACATCAGCAGACACGATATCATCCTGCTCCTCATCTCTCCCCCGGACTGGCTGGGACTGGCTGATGCGCCTCTGCTGAGGATTCCTCATGATGTACGAAGACTGAGACTGGCTAGAGCTGCAGATAGAGAGATACACCTCGGCTGTGACTGGCAGCCCACTGCACATTCTGCATACGAAAGAGAACCACAGCTTCAAGGCTAAGCTTATTAAACGCGGCAGAAAGTCCTACCAAAGAAAGCATGTACTAAATCTGGGAATCCTTCCATTTTTTAAAATTAAATTTGGGAAACGTGCAAGAGTTGTAACCCTGAGCTCCAAATGCAAACGGCGAGTTCCCACAAAAGCCTCCGCATGTACGAATTCTGCTGAGATCATATACGCTTCATAGCGACAGCCCCAATATCCAGCACTGCAGCATACCTGCTGGACTGGTCTGGTGAGGGTCGAGGCGGCAGAGGCTCCACGGAGAAGAGTTCCTCACTTCCCTGCATGGCATCAATGCTGGTGCTGGCCAGGGTGAAGGGCGCAGTGGGACGGGCAATGCCCATGCGCACGGGAACGATCAAGGACTCGGCCACATTGCACAGCTCCTCCACGGCATACGGCAGCAGAGCTTGGAAGACGCGCTTGCACTTCCCTATGGGCTGGGGGATGAAGTTACTGGGGGGAAAAAAAACAATCACGACTTGCAAAGTCCTTCCAGACACCAGGCCAACGTGTTGCATAACACTGAAGGCTTAGACAAATAAAATCAGTTTTCAGGACGTCATTAAACATTTCACACTTTATAGATATTCTAACTGCTGAACACGCGTGTACACAAAATCAGTTTTCAGGACGTCATTAAACATTTCACACTTTATAGATATTCTAACTGCTGAACACGCGTGTACACATACTTTTTCTTCTTTGACGAGGCCATCTCCACACTGAGAATGACAAAGACCCTGGCCACAGAGCGCAGGAATCTCATGGTGACATTGATGGCTTCCTCCCTTCGACCCGGAGTGTACTTGTTTTGAAGTTCTTTCACCAAAGTTCCCAGCAGGGTGTCTAAAAGCTTGAAGGACAAAACAAGATAAGTATTACACAGGTTTTTGTTTTTTTTAATTTGACAACTGCTCTTGGATTTTTTTGTCTTTCCTCATCCAAGGCAAATTAAGGCAGGACTTACTGTAATGTCCGCAGTGCATTTAACAATGAGACAATGGGTAAAGCAGTCAAGCCGAATGGTTCCACTCTGCTGGTTGAGATATACTTGCTCTTCTGGAAGAAGGTGACCTATTCTGCTGCTTGCACTCAGTCTGCGAAGGAAAATCAAGGACATCGTGTCAGCTGAGCTAGAACTCTTATTTAGAAAGAACTGAAGGTCCACAGTCAACAGCGGTACTCACGGATCTTTGTTCTCCTGTGATCCAAACATGATCATGGACTTCAGGGCATTCCAATCCTGCAGCACACGCTCCAGAGCCAGCTGAGCAAAGCGGGGTGGCTCCAGGTCGTGATCTGGCATGTCCGAATCTTCCAGGGCAAAAAACACAACAGGGATAAAAACACCCATCGACCAGTTATATTACACAGCCAATCACAAAAATGTCAGGTGACTGGCTTCTCAAACACTTGAAATTTGATTTACAAAATATATTTCCTCACAATTTTCGCACAGTTCACTACAATCCAGACAAAATATTTCAATCTCCAGGGCTTCAGCAACATTGCTTACTTGGCTCTTAATGTTTACAAACATCCTGTAACAGGAACAAACTGACATATAAAGCAGAACGATGCATCCTCCAGCCCTTCCCACAACATCTGTCAGCAGCAAATCTGTGGTTATAATGAGCTACCATGTTTCCAACAGTGAAAAGCTTGCAAGCACCTAGACAATCATTAATCAGGCGCAACAGACCTTCAGCATTAGCTGCCTTTCGGTTTCTGTCCTCTCGGATGCGTGGTGGTCGATACTGGCAGTGCTCTACTGTCTGCCTGGCCACAGTCTGGACCAAGAACAGCAAGAGATGCTCTCCCCTGTGGCGAGACAGAACATTGTTACACACACTGCAAAGAGCGATCAACAGATTGTCCCCGAAAGACAACTAGCATATACTTGCCTGCTGTTTGGCATGGTGACAAGGTTAGTGGTGGTGAGCAGTCGGTACAGCAGGTCAAGTCGGGCAGATTTCTGTCCTGCAATCAAGGTTTTACACTTGCATTTCTCCCAGCAGTCACAGTATGCTGTAGGTGATGTTCTCTTGAGCCTGCGTGTAAACCACAAAAACATAACTCACATGACATTCAAGTCACCTGTTGAATAAGGTACACAAGTTACTGTCATCAAGAGGCTTTGCAAACAATGGTAACGCATATAGTCACTGATAGATAGATAAGACTTTATTAATCCTGTAGGGAAATTGATGTGTTACAGCAGTCCAGCCCAAGACAACCAAAACAGACTTGGTGATGTATTCATCCTCATTTAAGGTTTATGAACCAAAACAGTAACAATGCACTCATAGCAGCTGACATGGCCTTTTCTTTACATTTTCATTTAAAAAATGCTTCCTCATGTTATGTAATTTAATCTCAGACTCTGCATAGAAAGATACACAGATATGACATCCTAATACTCCATAAACATATAGCAAAACAGCCATGTATCTTTATGAAACACACTCACTTGCAGTCATGTCCTTTGTGGCACACCCTGGCGCATTCCGTGCAGCAGCAGAGAGACTCCAACAGGCCACACGTCCTGCACTCAAAAATATCCTGAAATGCCAAGATGAATATCCGAGTCAGAAAGACCCTGCTGAGCTTCGTCTTCTTCAGCAATCTCTTACAGAACTACAAAACTGTGCCACCCACATCCGATAAGCCCAATGGAATGTGAGCAGCCCACCTGATTGATGTGCTCTGCTCCAGTCCACGTGAAGCTGCAAGTGTCATTACAACAGAGGACATAGAGAGGAGAGTCATCCGGGTTGGTTCCAGATGGACAGATCATTTCCATGAACACAGCATCCTCCTTTTCACTTGAGGCAGGATCACCTACAGTGCAGGGTTATATCGCTTCAGTGATAAAGCTGACAGTGCACAAAAATCTCCTAGATGTGTTAGACAAAACGGACCACTGACAGATGACAAGTCACAATTAATACTTCAAATACTGACAGTATAGAAATGCCAAAATAAACACAGCAGCAGACTGTCACCGTGAAACAAGTAAGGTTTCTTCGCTTGGTTCTGTGAAAGCAATAAAAAACGAACCCTGTGTTATAGTTTCAAGCTGTAGAAATCAAAAGAGAAGAACTACTAACCTTTGGCTATTTTCTGAGCAGCTTCAAGAATGGTAATAGCAGCTGGATATGCTCTCCCACTAACAGCAAGCATGAACGGAGTCATTCCCCTCGCATCCCTGTACATTGCCAAAATTAAAAACACCCAGTGATGCACTAAACTCATTTATCATCATAACTTTAAAAACATCAAAAATGAGTGCTTAAAAATGAAACTGAATAGTATGGGCAAATTTCTTCACTGCCGCACTTGTCCTAAAACTTCAGGGCGATTACAATTTACACTTGTGTTCAGACAAGGCCACGTACTTTGCAGAAAGCAAATCCCGGAGATAGGGACGAAGAACAACACTGTCACACATCAATTTCAGTATCAAGTGGGCATTGGCTTTCCGATCTTTGGACTCCACCACTGATGGCTCAGATGAAGGGCCTGGTAAGAAAAAAAGTTTTTTTTTTAAAGGAGCAAAAAAGCATGTCATGGAACAGAAAAAAATGTAATCACTACGCAATACACAACAGTCCATATTCAAGCTGCTTCACACATACCAGATGTTCTGATAGCGTCTAAATACCGCAATTATATGAAATATATATATATCAAAGATCACTTTTATATACACCAAAGAAACATTCCCTTAACTCTAAGAGTGAAGAACTGGAAGGCCAAAATCTCTTAATTTGTAGGGGGAAAGAAACATGGGAATACAGGTTTTTCTAAAGTACTAAAGCAAATGGTTTACACTGCCACATCTGTATAGAGAAGGTCTTCACTGAAGAAACACAGCAGTGCTCCTGTGTTCTGCTCTCAGCTCACCTGGTATGGTGGAGGTGCTGGGTCCCTGGCCAGTGCCCGCTGATGTGGTGGTGAGAGAACCCACAGCTGGAGCCAGTATAAAATCAATATCGCCATCTTGAAGAAAAACAAAGAGCGGACATATTAAGACACCCCAGTGATCATGAAACCACACTTCAAGGCAAAACAAGTTTATGATGTGCAAACACTCTGATCACCACAGGAAAACCTTTAATTGGGTCAACTTTAACATGTTCATTCTGGACTTTAGCAACAGTACAGTAAAAGATTTACTATCTGGCTCCCTGGGGCAGCAACGAAGAAAGCAAGCTGGATTCAACCAGAAATGTTCCCAATTAGTAAAGTTCTCCATAGCAAACAGCAGTTAACATAGCATCCAGGTTACTAAAAACCCGGAGACTCAATTTTTGTTTACTCTACTGCGCATGAGATGGCGCAAAAAAAAAATTCTATGTATTTTGAACAATCCTCTAACCAAAAAGTTGTATCAAACTGGGTTTGATACATACCATGAAAGATATAAACATCTCACCCTCATGAACACGTTACTAAGTTACAAGACGACAACTGACAATACAACACAGGCAAACCAAAGGCAAATTATTCTATGACGGTATCAGCTAAAACCATTCATGAAGCTTATGTAAAGGACGTATTTTAACCTTATATACAAAAAAGAGAGAAGGGAAGCCTTCAAACACTAGAAGCTGCTCAAAGACAATGAGTCACCTGGGTCCATGGGGGGCGGGTCTGGTACCCAGCTGGGTGGAGCGATGGGAGGGGACACCGGATCCTGGTGGTCACTGGACGAAGGGCCGGACTCGTGTCGTCCCAGACCAGCGGCTCTCAGAGAGCGCCTCATCATCTCTCGCAGCCGCAGACTAGGGAAATAATAACCCCGCGTTAGGATACAGGGCTAGAACTCACTATAGGACCACCAGCAGTAAGACACATGGGCAGAAATGCAGAGACACAGCACAACTCCAGTCAGAGGTGCAACCTAAAAGACCAAGAGATTTCCCTGAATTTCACTATTCTGTGAGGAAAAACTGCAAAGAAAGAACGTTCCCCTATACTTAAGCAGTGTAAGAAATTCACAAATATTCTGAAATGGCAAATTCTAAACAACAACTTTTACAACTCCTAGACAGAATTATATCATAATACCATAAAGGCACAAACATGAGGCTGCACAATAGCATACTAGTAGTTTCCTCAATAGATATTTGTACTACACAGCCCAAAACGCATATAGTAACTCTATCCATGGCAGTATTCCTCCCATTATCAGGCAGTATTCTTTTTAATGGCTCAGCACGAGTCCTGCTTGAGAATTTTCAAACTTCAAGTGTCCATGTCAATGTACGTTAATTTTTCAGTCCATTTTAACAGATTGTGAAAATTTCAATGAGTAAGTCGAGTCCGAAAGATGGGGAGCCCACCCTCTGCTGCTTGAAGACCCTGTTCTATTTCCAGAGCTGTTGCTAGAAACCACAGAGATCGCATTGGCTATGGCTTCGACCGCAGACAGTCTCTCTGCAAACGTGTTCCTCTCTGACCGCTCAGCTTCTGGAAAACACCAATGACATAATACTGAGTAAAAGGCCAAAGGAAAATTAGAAAACTACAGCATATTCCCCAGTGGAAAAAGTAAGTCCGCAATGTTTAGGAGGTACAATTATAATGTCTAAAGATGAGATGAAGGTCAAAGGTCTTATTGGAACCCTCCCAAAAAATACTTACAGATGTTTTCTTATTGGTTTTCATACACCATACTGCTTTTGTAGGATATTTTGTTCAGAGGTATGTTTTTGAACGGTTCATGAACAACAACAAAAAATTATCAAACAGAACATTTTATCAAACTTAATACAGCACCTTCAGGGTCTCAACAGCATTTTGGAAAACCATCGGGATATAGGAACAAGTGAGAAAAGCATTTTTTTTAATTGCTGGGAGGATAGCAAATACAAAAAACAAAACAATATACTACATTTAGTACAATTTAGAACTGGGCTCACTAAGCATTTATCAAAAAAATGCAATTCCAATCTCTGTGCCTCACTAAAAGAGGTAAGGTAATACAAGCATTGCAAGTACCATACATATAGGCCATGGCACTTGAAATACTTTTTTAAATGTCATTCAGAGCATATTGATCTTTACTGGCAAACTTCCTTATGATTACATCAACTTTTACCTCTATATTGCAATCTTCTTTCAGATTCCCCATGTCTTTGTTTGTAGACAGCTCCTGGAGACATACCAATGCAAGGTATCGAGACAGTTGTTACCTACTGTACCATTACCGGCTGACCATTCTACCATTGTGCATCCATAGATGCCTCTGTTATTAGGCAAAATTCTTTCAAATGCTACCTTACCTTCTTCCTCTTTAGTTTCTTTGTTGCTGACAGGGAAGCACACAGAAACGCATGTGTGCAAGATGTTGCGGTTCCCATCACACCTGTGGCCAAGGAGTGCATGCAGTGCTTGAGGCGTTTGCTCTAGCAAAACGGCTTGCTCCAGATTTATCAAATACTGCCTGCATGCTTCATAATCACATCTTAAGATGTGCTGCATCAGGGTTTGCTTCTGCAAGACAGAAGTCATGAGAAATGGCCTGTAATCAACTTTCAGTGAAGCCTCAAAAATGAAATTAGTCATGACAACTCCCATTCCATAAATTTCACCCTTTAAAATCTAAATCAGTGAAGTGGAATTCTGTAGAAAAACTGCAGAGGTTTTTGAATTGGTGGCACCTACTTTATAGAGATAAGCCAAAGTTCTATTTAAAAAAAAAAGTATATAACAAATTTAACTTGATTTTCCATTTTTCTACAAGGCTTTCATTTAGATTTAATCAATTTAAGTCCTCAGACACAGACTGTATTAAAATGACAGTGACTAAAATGACCAGGCCTTTCAATTCACACCACTTGGCACACTTACCTCAACAGCCATTATTATAACAGCAGCTTTCTTCTTAATAGTGGAGTTGGCAGGAAGATTAGTTAAGGAATGCACTCCCATACCAAGACTCGAGATGGGTGGCAAATCTAACCAGTCAGGGTCTCGTATGCCACCCATGCAGTCTTTAGCCATTGGGTAGATAGTCCCATTTCCATCTCTTAGAATGATAGGCGATTCCTGTTTATAAAGATTCAGAGTCATAACAGAAATAAGTTACTATACTGCTTCTGCATCCAGTGTTCTGTTTCACATTAACAACCAGTGTTTAACTTACAAGAAGGCGGGGTGGGCTATATCTTAGCACAACTTTTAACTCTGTGCTCCAAGAGAGCAACACTTTTTCCCCTCACCTGCCCCGCTGTGAAAATTGCCACATTCCGTTCATTCTGTCCCAGAAAAGCAAGACTGCTGGTGGGAAAGTTATTTTCCTGTTCTGCTTTGCCTGTTGCCAGGTCAAAGATGCAGTATCGCACCCAGCTGCCGGTCTTCAATACAGCATGTACTCCTAAAGAGCAAAAACAATTAACAACATTTACAAATCTCTAAGAGTAAGAAATCTCTGTATGAAAATCGCGGTGGGAGCCAACGCAATGAAAAGAAACATCCACATTTTTAAAAACTGTAAACCGACATTTCAATGATTTTAGTTTTATTCCGACTCTGGTGCAAGCACATTCAAGCTATACCTGCTAACCCCTAGGCCAGACATCACATGCCCTACTCAAGGAATATTTTGGTTTATGTATTTTTATATATATATACACACAAACCCAGACCTCTTTTTACGAATGTTTATACGAAAATTCAATATTACGAAGCGGGAGAATTGTTACCCACATCTCGAACAATGAAAACCAACTTCCAAAATATGAAGAAGCGGTAGGAAGAAATTTTGAAACCTCCACCAAACGCAGAGTGAAGAGGAAGATCTCATACAACTCGCCTCGTATTGAGTGTTCGCATCACAGTCCACTAACTAGTAAGGGTGTGGGCTAGCACAGAGCCTACAGAGTGGCAGGAGAGACGTGTGTGATAGGGTTAGCCGAGTCTTGCTTCATGCATTTTTTGCTAGTGTGTGCACTTTTACTTTTTGTAAGAGTATGTGGTTTAGACTTTATCATGGACTAAAGGTGTTGAGAAAATGAAAATTGTGTGTGTAATTACACAAAAAGCAAATGAAGTGGTTACTGTACAATACAGTGCTGTACTGTACTTAGTTGTGATTAATGATGCCTTACTAGCTAAGCGGTGTTTTTATTACTAAAAACAAACCACAGTATGAATGATTTTTTTGTTGAAAAAGGCAGGGGTGACATTGAGGTTGGAAACCGATGATAATTTTGCCCCATAAGAAATAACCGAATAGGCTTTCCTTTCACATATTTTCACTCTTCAAAAGGGTTTCTGGGACCGGATTATGTGTTGTAAAAAGTGGTACGGGTGTATACGTCTCGTATATTTAGATAGTATTTTGGTACTACATAGCCAGAGAGAACCTGAACTCCAATGCATTGTACTTTTTAGCCATTATGCACCAGCAGCACCATTAAAGTGAGAAGGTGTCTAACAGAAGTGAGGAGACATTTAGATACGTAGTAGTTCAGGCAGGTAGCTACGTCAGCATGCGTAGGCTGCAAAGGAACAAGTAATAGGTTTATTCCATGCTGAAAAAAAAAGGAAGAAAGAAAACACAACGTTTCGGTCGTGGAGCCTTCTTCAGGTGTGAAGAAGCTGAAGAAGGCTCCACTGCCGAAACGTTGTGTTTTCTTTCTTCCTTTTTTTTCCAGCATGGAATAAACCTATTACTTGTGACATTTAGGTATGCCAGACTGAGCAAGACCCGAGTCTGATAGGAGAAAGTATTGAACACTCAGGTTGAACTTCTCTGCAGTGCATCAGTTAAACTAACCTTTCGAATCCACATTTACGGCCAGTATTTCAGCTTTTTCAGGGATGCAAAGTTTCTTAGGTGTGCGCTGGAAGCAATCCGGAACCTTTGGAGTGCCACCAGTTTTTACAACCTATTGGAAAACATGGGAAGTCAAGAAATCATGGAAGGAATGGTTTATAAAAGGAATGCATAGGTGCTTACAAATTTCCCAAAACATTTCCAAAATTTCAAAGCATACTACCATTGCCTTTTTTGGCAATTAATTAAGGACAGAATACCTTAATTATGATCTCAGGGTGGAGTATTCATGAAGTAAATACCCAATAAAGAGTGTTAAGGTTTGTTTTTTATTTTTACATGCATTTCTTAATTAAATTGTTTATTTAGATTATATGTTCAAGGAAATACAACTCAGGATAATATTCTTGGGCAGAGTAAATGATTTTCCAGGGAATTAAAGCTATCTTTCACAGTTTGGGAATAAAATACAAATTCCATTGTGTAGCAAGAGTTTTGCACTTAATTACAATAGCTACCTTTTACCCTTTAAGACAAAAAAACTTTAGGAGGTATTTTATCCTCATATGTTTCACCGTACATTTTAAACGGAGCATACCCAACAACCATCAAAAGTACTCACAAATGTAAGGTAAAAGATTAGAACATTGGAGACTTAATTATAAACAGTATTTTATCAAATATTGTAATAGGTCTCAACAAGAACTTAAATCCATGTGACATGCTGTGGGTAGAAAAATAGCCAAATGCTTTCAGTAAAATGCTTGTAAAGTAATGCGCAAAGCCTTTTAAGAAAAATGTTCAACAAGGATCTTGAATATAGTGGGATTGCTCTCTATACCTGTAGCTCATCTATTCTTAGTAGTCTACAGTCCTGCAGCAGTGATGAGGGATCAGAGTCAGAAGGAGCTGTGCTTTGGTTGCTCATACTGCTGGATGTTCCTGGAAATTTCACAGCAACATATGCACCATCGACTTTTAGCACCTTGAGTTAAAAAAAAGAGCTGTTGCAAATGTTGTATCAAACTGCATCAGACAAAAATCACAATTTATGGAAAAACAAACTGGCAATACACACGTTGCACAAGACAGAATGGACTTCTTAGGAAGATGATAGATTACTAATAATAGGCAACTAAGTTTAATCAAGTACCTTAAAATATAAAATATTTACTTAGCAGATTACATACGAAGACTGGATTTTTAGAGACACAAGAAATAGAATATTCTTTCTTAAATTTCTGTTCTTTAGTGTGGTAACACTACGTTTAAGAAATGTTACAATCGTCAATAGTTAATCTGGCAACCTAAGGGGGTGCTTACTGTCCTTTGCCAAATCCCAACAACTCATCCCACTTTAAACTTGATGGAAAAAATAATAAAACACACAAAAGCAAATCACAGATTACCACTAGCTACCGAATTTCAGTACGTAGAAGGTTTATACAGAAAGGTATCTCCAAAGTCAGTTCAAACCCACCTTTCCAACAGGGACATTTTTAACATCTTCCACAAATACCACTTCTCTCAGAGGCCACTGCTCTTCATTCACTTTCTCCTCCTCTTTTGGGGCTGGAGTTGAGCGCCGCCGCTCTGTAAAAAGGCACACAGTCGTCATTACAAAGTGCAGATTTTCATCGAAGACTTTGTCATTTCACATTAGCGCAATATTAAGAACGATAGGTACCCGTTTATGCAGTCCAGGGTATTTGGCAAGGAAGATGACTGCAATATACTAAAAGCAAATTTGAATGAATCTGAGGAAACCTTCTCTGCTATACACAGACTCTTCAGGTTACACAAGACTCACGATTTGATTTTCTGCAACATGGGTTGATGGGCCCCATCAGAAAATGCTTCATTGAGGGAAAGTTTATATTACATGGGTAATGACAAGTGTTGCAGCAGTTCTGTCTGTGAATGAATAGCAGGGAGGAAGCACAATGCAATCACCAACAGCATCCAGCAGGGCTGTTATACACTTCAGACTCGCTTTGCATTTGTGTACGTGTGATAACCTTCACATTATCACTTCGACTTAAATTTAATCCTGATTCTAGCTGAAATGCTATAGACAGTTCACAACTGGAAAAAACTTTGAAATAAAGGAACACAACAGTTAACATTGCAATTAATAGACATACTGTAAGGCAGCGATGCACTGCTTGCGATAGAGGATGTGTCACTACAAGTAGATGCTGGAGAAGGAGGTGGTCCCATCTCAGTCTTCACAGACTCAGGTTTGTTCTCCGTTCTAAGGACAGAAGTTAGAAATGAATCTGTTAAACTGGTTAACAGTATATTTAAACAAGGGAATTTTAAGAATACTACAGAAGAAACTGAGCTGGACTAATTCTAGATCCTGATATGACATCAAGTTATACGTGTGGATACTGCTGTGAAGTTCAAAGTGTTTTTTAATAAGATGAAAGACACTATAAAGAGGAGAGCATCACAGAGCCAGAGCTTAGAAAATCAACCGAGGCAGCAATTCTGCACAACAAAATCTGCATCCACTGCACTTACTTTGTTTCTGCCGTCTTGCTAGTCTTCTCCATGTTTTTCAAGCTCTCTGGCGACCTGAGCTGAAACCTGCAACTGTCATTCATGTTCCATACGGATTCCATCAAGACCCCCACTTTAGGAATCCCAGCATTGACGGAAAAGGCAACTGCCCCTGCATGGTAAAGAGGGTTGTTCCTCAGGCAGACCTAATGATGGCAAAATAGGAGAATGTTTACAACAATTTCATATACCAACAGGGTTAGTCACATTTTAAAGAAAAGCCACGCGACATTAAAAAATGACAAATCCACGCGACATTAAAAAATGACAAATCCACAATCTTCTCACCTGTGTGCCCACAATAATGTTGGGCATAGAGGAGATGCCAGCGCTGGACTTTGGCTTTTTATTCTTGGCTCTGGCCTTTTCTAGCATCTTTTTCCGTTGACTAAAAGGAACGACGCCCCTAAAGAACAAAAAAAGAAGTGGTTTTATTTCTTAAACTACAACGTACCCATTCATTTTTACAAGTTGTTTGCAAATAGAAGGTATTTATTCATGACACTAAAAGGTTAGAAACTACTACAGATTTCAATTGCTTGATGGGTCTCTTCTGGCAACACCAGACACACATTAGAGGGATATGATTTAAGTTATAATTTACAATGGTACTATTCCAGACATTTGGAAGCACAAAACAGTACTTACCACCAATACAGGCTATTCTCTAGCTGTGCACAGGTGTAAAGGGCACAGCAATGCAGGGACACAATGCGCTCTCCTTGCAGTTCAGTGAAGGTCTGTGTGCTGTGCTCCAGCTTTGATGCTACAGTACTAAGTGTATCATCCACCCATGTGGCAACCTTGTGAGGAAAAAAAAAAGATTTAGACATACCTTACAACTAAAAAAAAAGTAATCAAGTTTAATATGTCCTGTGCAATGAATACGATAAAGCAAACAATGCATCGTCAAACTTTAACATGTCTAATGCGGCAAAGATGCTCTGAACCCAAATACAAGATGAACAAAAATACAAATGTTTAAGTGTCCCTATATTTAATATTTTGTTAATTTAAGAAAGGTAATAGAACGGCTGGCACACTGACCTTATTGCTCTCGGTAGCAACAGTAGCTCTTATACTATTGGCAGACAAGAGGGTGATTTTTTCGTTGATCAGTCCCAGAAAACTGGCTCTTGGGTGATGCACAGCAGGGTTCTGCAGATTGGAATTTTGTTTTAAGATTCTCAGCTGTAAAAAGTGTGAAACATCTATAATCACAGTCTACGGCATGACAATACCTGTGCGTTTCTATATGGTTCAGTGTCACTCCACTTCCACTGATAGAGTTCTCCTTTTGAACTCACTGCCACCAGTTCAGAGTACAAGGCCCCAATGCTGAGAAACTTCGTACCATCCTTTATAGGGAAAAAATACAAATAGTTTTATATCCATTATTTCAAGGAATCAACTGTATCAAGTACGAGCCTCCGCTTTCAAGACTGTAAACATGCCTACGGTAAACGTGCAATGTGTACAATACTGACAGGAATCCAAGGACATCTTGAAAAGAACATCCACAAATGTGCTCAGTTGTCCCATTTTGCTTTAAGAAGGAAATTTCACAGCCATAAAGTTCCAAACACCCAGTTGCATCACATTTGTGTATCACTGTTTCTGGAAACACCCTTCAATGGAAAAACACATCTGTCACTGCCAATGCTCAAAACATCCTGGTCAGAAATGCTACCTTTTTGCGTGACAAGAACAAATATCCCTGCTTGTCGTTATATCTTCACTTTAGACATTAGGCTTGCCTCCCATGTATTACTTTGAGGAGCACAGTATCTTTCGAGGGTTTTACAGACATTGCTGAAAATACAGAATTTGAGACTCTTTGGTGCAGACCAGGGGAATCTGTGGTTCTGCATTCATACAGAAAAACATTACTATACTATAAGCATATACAAACTAAAGAAAGTATGCACAAATGATTACTTAAAAGTAAACATAAATCCTCAATTTTCAAATCTACACAATTAGATTTTTTATAAAGTTAGAAATGTACAATTATTTTGCTATGAGCCCACCCAATTTCAAGCTGTCAATTATGATAAGACTTAGTGCATGGCCAGAAACTTTGCAGCCGCACACAGGGAAGAACGAACAAGAGTAGGCAGACTGCTCCAACTAGCCCACGTTCAAGCTACTGACTGATCAATTTTAACCTACGACAGGCTACGCAGCTATATGCGACAGGTTTAACTCAGCGCTAACTGGAGGAGACATGCTCCAAACCTACGGCACCACAGGTCTGTAGGTGCTTGGATGGTTACAGGGGTCACTGCTGCCAGGAGCTGACAAGAGTTGACTAAACCCAACCCTTCTCTCAACAGCATTGAGCCATGAGTCCTGGTCACACGCTGGTCCACACCTAAGCCTGAGCTTGGCATCTTTACTTGTTAAAGTTTTTATCGTCTAATTCAACAATTAACACTTCATGTCATGGTCCTGAACTACTGCATTCTTCACAAATCTATGGATTTCAATAGGAAGTGCCATCAATCCAGAGAAATCATCCATCACTGGAACACTAAAAGAGAATGACTGTCTTAGCAAGAATCATTCAGAACAGCATTGCACCGATGGTATTTAATGGCTGTTCTGGTATATGTACCCAATATATATATATAACCCTCTGAGACACAGGAAATGATGGGAGGAAACAATTTCCACAGCATTTATTCCCCCTCCCCCCATTTTATCCAGGTTTGTATTCAAAGGCTGGACATACAGGAGTGCAGGCATTTGGCACTGCTTTGTTAATGTCTTAACTCCTACTCCAAATATCTTTGAAAAACATAGTAACAGCATTAACTGTAGGTGTGGCATCGAAAAGTTAGATCTGCTCTAATAATCTTAAAATGTCTTTCAAAATTTTCAACAACACTCAGTATTTTGTTTCCAGCTGCCCCCAAACTAACTACTGTCGTCTAAGGGCAGGCTTCAAATTAAAACTACAAAAAAAAAAAGCAAGATGCACTCAGCACGGAATAAACGGGAACATGCAAATCGATAAACAGTGCAGACGAAATGCAGAATGAACTATTACGGCAAACCTTATCAGGCCACCACTGAAGCTCCTCCCCCAGGGACACGGGGCTCTGCACCGGGATATTCTTCTTGTCCATGCTCGGCTCCCCTTCCCTGCTTGTGGAGCCTCGCTCGGTATCAAAGGAGGCTCCATCAAGCCACCTCCGCTCACGCAAACGTAACACAGACTCGCGCTCACGCAACAGCTCCGAGTCTCTCTCTAAGGGAAGAAGGAGAACTGGTATGCAATGGGGTCACACCAGTGGAATAAAAGTAAGCCACTCTCTGGGAAAGACCCTCCACAAAAAAAAATATCGCAAAATAATAAAAAAAAATGTCCACCCACAAATGAACAGAGGTTAAAAATAAACACAGACAAAAAAAAACAGGTGATTCACACTTTCCAGTGTACTCTGCAGTCAAGGGTCTTGGACATCCTAACCCAATACACAAACCAGATGGTACTACTGGGCCTTTCTCAGAGGGCTCACTGCTTTTATTTTATCCAATGTGCTCAAGCTTCTTAAGAATGAACACACAAATAGCAACACAAACGTAAAAATGAGCCAATAAATTAAAATATACGTGTTCATTTATCTCATACCTACCGTCTTTCTATTTTCTAAGAGGTGAACAAATACACACAGGGCCAGAGAACAGCCTTAAAGGGTTAAGAATACATTCCAGGAAAGACCTCATAACACAGTAAGCCTGGATAAATATGTACTAGTGTAATTTAATTAGTAGTTAATAATTATGAACTGGAAAGAGTTCAAATTAACTGTGAATGGCTCTATCCATCCTCTAAAACATCTAGATGTTTGTCTCCCCTCTTGGTAGGAAAATCTTTAATATGTTTATCTACCACCTTCACAAGTAGGCTTTTCTACACTGGAAAGCACTTACTTGCAATAAAAAAAATCTTGATACACATCTTACATTCATTTGCTTTCTTTAATTTCTCCGTATAGAATGAATATGTGCCCACAGAGAATCTTGCTTTGCTCACTCATCTACACCTCTTATCCATTATTTAAAAGATAAAAGGTACTGAATTACCTCGTGAGGATCCAAGTCTTGAGAGAGAAGAACGGCGAAAGGAGGGATATCCAAAATAACTGATGTCTTCCGAGAACATGGCGTCCGCATCAATTATGACACTGGGGTGGGCCGAGTGGATATCGGCATCCAGCAGAGACATTAAGTCCTCTGAAAACAGCAGAAAGGACAGAACAGCATTTAACAGGGTTTGTATCCAGGAGAATCTAGGTACATTGTAGGGGAAGCTTGAGTGCAGCAAAGATTTTCTGCAGAACCAGTGTTAGAAAAAAAAAACCTGTTATCCCACTTTAAAATACAAAGTGCTTATAAGGCCTACTGAAATAACTATCATGATATGGTGACAAACACTGCTCGGTGTAACCTCCATCTGTATTACTCTCATAAGTTTGGAGATACAAGCAGAATATTCCTACCTTCAGTTAACTGGGACAACTGAAGAGCTATTAAGAGTTTAAATTAAAAAAATGTAGATACTTGTACATTACACAGAACTACAAGTAATCTTCAGCCGCCTAAGGACAAAAAGAAAAGCAGCAGGAAAAGTCTAGTAAGAGCAGTAGCCCAACACCTACCTCCTGGTAAGTAAGATTCACTTGCAGTGTCATCACCATCATCACCATCCTCATCATCACGACTCAGCAAATTGTTGACAGCCAAATTAACATCCAGGTTAGTCCGCTGGAGTTCTCGGATGATAACGCTCCTGGACTTCCCTTGAAGAACTACCTGTGCCTAATCAACGGGGGAAAAAAGCCTTACAACAATCCACTCTATTGCTGTAACAATTCAAATTTCTCAGTCACATAATTCCAATAAGTAGTAAATAGTTCAGGTGGGTGGCTGCATCAGCATGCGTAGGCTGCAAAGGAACAATAAGGCCATTCCCTGCTGAAAAGAGAAGAAAGAAAAACGTTTCAGTCGTGGAGCCTTCTTCGGGTGTGAGGTTCCTTCTTCAGGTTGCTCACACATGAAGAAGGACCCACGGCCGAAACTTGCGTTTTCTTTCTTCTCTTTTCAGCATGGAATAAACATATTACTTGTTCCTAAACAGTAAATGTACCGTTATAAAAAATAAAAAGGCCAAATGGATACATCATTTACTGCTCTTTACTTGTGCATAATATTCTAGTATTAGAACAGTTGCAAATGACATGAGGCCATTTGGCCCATTTAACCCATTTTTTGTAGCTTATTGATTGAAGGATCTCATCCACTTGTTTCTTGAAAGAAATCAGGATATTTTCTTCGGCAACATTTCTGGGTATCATATTCTATACTCCCACATTACTAAAAGTGTTACTGAAATTATATCCGTCTTGCGTTTGCAAGTATTTTACTTCTTGGCAATTTCAATATATATATATATGGGGATTCTACTGTAAAGGTATGATGAATCAACAGCTCCATGAATTGGACGATCAATTTTGGAGTCGGTTTAAGCATGTCCAACGTACAAGCATTTGTATGAAGCATTTCTGACCACAAGGCTGTCTTACCTTATCTCAAATTAACTCTCAAACTGGAGTCATAGGAGTATTGGAGTACATCAAGGATCTGTACTTGGACTCGTTTTCCTTATTTATATCAATAATGTAGGTTTCTGCTCTTTGCAGAATTTGTACTAACACATCAGTAGGTCCTTTGAACATTCGAAACTTGTATTTTAATCAAGAGTATGATAGAAAGCTACATCTGGCCTGGACCCTCGTGTCCCGTTTCAAAATGGCCTTTTCTTGCAACTATTGTGACTTGTGTGGCAGCAGCTCAGCCGGGTTGAATCTTAAAAACCGTTTTGTTCACGTGGGCGGCTGGCAGCTGTGGGGACTGACCTGAGAGATGAGCTCCTCAGGGATGACCGAGGCTGGAATGACGGGCTGAGGCTGGCTACCCAGAAGCCCCGAGCCCCTGTCCCGTCCGGTGCGGATGACCCTGGTCTGCCTCCTGGAGTCCCTGGCCGCGGTGGAGGACCTGCCCGACGAGCCGCCGCCGCCGCCGCCACTGCCCCCGCCGCCTCCGCCGCCCCCTCCTCCTCCTCCACCACCACCGTTCACACCAGAACTCCAGCGGTTCCTGTCACACAGAGCTCACGGGTCAGGGAGGCTGAGCACAGCAGTCAAGCAGACATCAAAGACATTGCAAAAGAAGAAATGGGGAGGCCGCTTTAACTGTACATTTGCGTTTAGCCAACATGTAAGTTGTGAGTAAAAAAAAAACAGGAAACCGTAAACTCCTACATTGTCTCTCGCTGGCTTCCCATCAAATAAAAATTCATTGAAAAAAGAGCTTTTGAAAAATCTGTATTGAAACATTTTTCATAGTCCTCCAAAAACACAGTTTTAGAGCAGAGCAGAGGAATTTACTGCCATATGATCATGTACATATGGTATTCCATCCACATTTCATTAAAAAAAATAAAAATGCAGGGATGGGGAGAGAGGATAATGTCCACACAAGTAAACGCAGAAGGTGATGTGACGGCACTGATACGGACACCTGCAGTTTGGTGCAGAGGCTGCATTTCAGCAGAGCCACCAACTACACACTTGGGTGGAAGTCCCTTAACTGCACTGTGCTTTGACATTTACCCCATGTAAAGCACTGGAAGGAGAGTGAAACCAATAAGCGCCAGTAGCGGCAGAGTAAATAAAGCTTTGAAACTCCTGAAACGTAAGGCTAAAATGTTTACAAACTTAAAACATACACGTCTCCATTCTTGAGTCCATTCTACTGTTTAATACCTCGAATGAGGGTTTATTACAAATCCAAAACTGCATAATAGTTCTTTAAGTCTTAATAGAGGATTTGGCCTTGTAGTACTGGTAGGTTTTCACCTGGTGTCTACATTAATGATGACCCTGCCAAAACTTACCCAAGGGTGTTGCCTGCCAGTCTGCCCAGTGTGTCAGAACCAGACAGAAACCAGGGCGGATCACTAGTCCTGCCTGGCCTGGAGGTCCTTCCTGTCCCTGAACCACTGCTCAACTTTGAACTGAAAACAAAAGATGGGAGATCAGTTACAAACCTAGTGTCCCACATGGGGTCACTGAGAACAACCTGGAAGTCCCAGGTCTTACAGCCCATGGGATTGAGAGCAACTAGCCTTGGCAACACCCTTGGGGACTGGCTCTGGCTGCTGCAGATGCAGCTCCTTTGTGCTTTACTTCCAGAAGGAAGTGGGAAGAATTTTCTGTCATCGCCAAACACCCTCTAGATTTAAGGCATATTTAAATTTAAACAGCTGGTGAAAAACTATAGAATAATAATTTACAGTGAGGTTTTAAAGTGAGCAACCTTACACAGAATAAAAAAAAAGATCATTGCATATAAGATATATGTAATCCACACAGTTACATTTATTTTATCAACTCAAAACAGATCATACGCACAAACCAAAGGTGTCCAGAGATTTGGGGAATAAAACCATTACAACACAATTTAAATTTAATTACTGACATAGCATAAGAATGAATGTTTTCATTTACATAATAGCACAGATGGAAGGAGATTTGAAGAAAACTTAACATTGAGCACCTAACGAAATGAGAACAAAGCAGCTTACAGGGGCCTCATCTTAAAATTCTTTACATTCCTCAGATCTGACTGCTTGATTGCCCATTTTATCAGTCATTTTAAAAGTATGATTGTGATAAAACGCTTCATAAAACAGACTCCATTAAAGTTACGGAACTTCACAGGGCAAGGTAAATCCCAGCAGGACAGCTGGATAATGTGCAGTTAGAACTGTTCAGTCTTGCACTAATCTTACTCCACCAATCAAAATATACAACACATGTAAGGCGACATCCAGGGTGTGGTACATTTTATGAGAGGCACACACATACTATTTAAGTATTTCTACTTAATGCACATTTAAAAAATATTACATTCTTAAGCATGTACTGAATATTGGGATAAACAGTTATGACTACAATGTTTCCTAGGGATTATCTGAATTTGAGAGAACTTAGTTTATGGTAGCTGAGTGCCTTTTATGAACTACATGACTTTCTCCTTTATCTTTAAAGAATTATCCTGTTGTCTGTCATAAAAATGAGGCAGAGAAAATATCAACCCTTAATCCCAAATTCTACTCTTTGTATCACCTGGCCCTGTTATCTTCCAAGTGCTGATTTTATAGGAACGTCCTTGGTGCACAGCAATCAAGCGACAAGAAATGGCAAATTGTAGAAGCTCAAACCTGCGTGCAATTTGGGTCCTTTTTTCAGGCAAACACCGATGGAAGGCAGCAAAATCAGAACTTTTCAGTTTTAATTCAAATGAATATTTTAAAGAGAAAATGGCACATTAAAAAGCCATGATATTAGTGGTCAAACCCTGTGTTGTTCATTACAGTTCCAATGCATTGTCAAAATAAGCACTTCAATAGAGAAATTTGGGCACTGAAGTATATAAATGATAATCTGGGCATTAAACATCCCATTTTTCAGAAAATGCATGAGGAATATACACCATGTTAAAACTGAAGTTTACACACTCTGCAGGAAAAGAACTAGACTTTGTAAACTTTAAAGGATTTTAAAGCAAAATCTGCTATTTCCATGTTACACAATGTTCTTTTGCAGATAAAGTCGTGGCAGGAGTAGCAACAAACTGTATTCCTGAAACAGACCTCTAAACCCTCATTCTTGGCATTTCCACAGGGAAGAACATAGGAAAGTCACAGCCACAAGTTCATGCGGCCAACACACTCACATCCCAGACAGTTTCTCAAAGCTTTTGTACAAAAGCTGATTTAAAGTGAAGACATACAAACTCATGAGCACTAATTCACTACAACTTCTTCCTATTTCACGGAACATCCTCCCAAGTACTTCACCGAAGGCTCCGATTTGGAGAGGAAACAAAACCAATATCTATCCTTCAAGTCAATGATTACCACTTGCTACAACATTCATGCTTGGATTTTTCATTCAATTATTCATTCATGAATAGCCCAAAGACCATAGGGGTACCACCGTGCCAGCACAAAAAAAAATCTCAACATGCACTACTTTTTAAAGGAAATTACTTTCTCAAGACAAAAGGGATATCCGTTCTTATGACAAACTATGAAGATCTCTAATTTAACCTTAAATATCCATCTCTTAATATCCACTAGTTCTCTGCATTTAACAATACTATAAGCTGGTTTCCTGAGAAACTTAACATCAGATAAACGCTGAGGTACAATGATTATTAACAAAACCACCAAGTCTAAAAACATCCTACAACTGCAAAAAATCTACAGTTTCACAAAAAGATAAAAACATGCATCTCTGGTAACAATAAGTTGCTCACTAATTCCATCTTTAATATCAATACATGTCAACATTATATTAGATGGTAGACCTAATATATTTGCCCTATATTAAAGGTAAAATACAAAGCAAAATATAGCTAAATTAAAGCAGAGAAAGTGTCAAGAATTCTTCCTTAGAGAAGTAGGTTTACATGATCATCTTAAGATTTAGTTTTTCAGCTCATTTTCATTTGAAGCCTACTAAAGAGGCAGTATCAAACACTGAAAGTATAGTTCACAAAAAGGGGCAAATAACTAAACTGCAGACTGCAATCAGGAATGCTGAGCTTGCCACCTTATCCTTTGTTTTCTTTTCTTTAGTGCAAGAGAATAAAAATAATCTCACCCATCACTGCCATCTGGTTTACCCAACTCCAACCTATCAGGCTGCACAGCAAAACCAATTCTACAAACACGACCATCCTAAAATAAAAGCAAAAAAACATTACACAGTGGACAGAAATAAGCTAATGAAATACATTTAATACAAACGCACATTTATGTCACAATTCACAATAAATCCTCAGTCCAGATGATTATGACCCAGGAGTGTGTTTTAGGAACACTCAGAAAAGATTAGTAGAGCACCTATTGCTCTTTCAACAACTGTTTCCAAGTATGCTTTGACTGAAGGATCCTAAGTTATCATGGACATCTTATGAGGTCTGAACAAGAACAGATAAATACCGATATTTATAAAATTTCAATAAAAAGTAAGTTATTAATAGTTTATTTTCATTTTATTGCATGAAACAGTATATGGGTGATCTTTTGCTTTTTTAAATCTGAAGAGATATCTAATCAGTTTTAACAGTTTTCTTCTGAACTGTATAAGCTTACATACATTATCTGAATTCATGGTAATAATTCTCAATCTAAGAAGAGAGCCACTGCCACTCAATATCTAATGATAATGTAATATTTCTATTGAATACAGGCATCCTCCCTTTAGATACAATGTGCATTATCCATTGCTTGTAAGGATTTTTGAAACCTTAGCATGCATTCAAAAGTAGGGTTATTATTACATGCATCTTAAAAACATACAATTCGTCATATTGAAGCATGAGGTAAGACAGTTCTACAGACGTTTTTGCCCAACTACTTTGTCAGTGATCATTTCTTGAAATTTGCACAGTACATATTTAATGTGTTGACTATCAGATTTAGTTAACAATTACTAGTACTGCAGATGGAACATGAATGATTGTGTCCTGTACTGAGTACCAATGTACCAAAGTGTTTGTCCTTTAACCATGTGAAATGTGAAATTAAAATAAACTTAGAATGATTAAGAATTACCTCCAGAAGAAAAGCAGCATGATTTGGTCCCACTACACACTGTTTAATTGTGGCCTGTTCCAACACATTTAGAGGAGGATGGCTGAAGGGAAGACAAAAAATAAGACAAAACTGCTTCAGGACATAACAGTCAAATATTAAAATATACAGCACAGTCTCCAAAATTCCTCAAAGGACATAGGTTTGCTAGATGTAAGCGATGTTAACACTAACGCTGGTGCTGCAATCCAGCCAGTACCCAGCAGTCCAGAAGATGCTAAATCAGCAGCAGCTAATCACCTTGTCAGTAAATGCATTCCAAACAGCCAGCTAGACCACTTTCTGAGGATAGAAAAACTAACACGTACTGGAAAAGCATGAGAAAGTATGTTTGATGCTGGCAAACTCCAACTAACAAAACAATTAGGTTGGGGAATTAAGGGAGAAAATCAATCTAAACAGCCACGGACATGAAAAGCTCATCCATGCTTTAATTTATATATGTAAGCACGTCATACGTGTATGCATTTACAAGTCCACTTCACATTTACAATTAGAATTTGGGAAGCATAAATATTTCCAGCCAGATCAGAATTCCCATCCCGATTAGAAAATAAGCATGCACATCCATTCACTAGTCACCCTGGTTTCTGAAGTTACCTACAAAAAAAATGGAGGTAAATCAGACATTTTTAAAGAACCTTCACAATATACTTCTAGAACACAGTACTAACTTCAGTCATTTAGTAAAGCCCTCTGCCTAAAACGCTAGAGTCCTATAGCCTGGAGGCTGCAGATGTGCACCTAATCACTAAGCAAGGACTTAAGGTTTAGGTTTTAGAACTGTACAATTAGGTTTTCATTGGCAAATAGCAGCTCTCCGTCACAGGCTAAAATGTTGTAATTGATCAATGTTCTGTGGATGAAAGGCTTACCTGCTGAAGTTGTATTTGTTAAGTTTCTCTGAGACCTCCCGCAGCCTGTTGGAAGAAAAGGCAGAAGGGTTGGAGAAAGCTGTCGGTCCCTTTTGAGGCAACTATGACAAACTGGTAAGACTACAGGGATCCCTATAGGCGACAAGGACCAAGACCTTTTAAATCTACTGAAGAATAAACCTAAATGGTAATATTACAAACTAAGCTTGAACAAACTACAATTAATACAAAAAAAATAATAGCATACTGGGCATGTTTCAGATAGACACAGGATATTTTCAGCTCTCAGTTTCACCAAGATCAATATTCACAGGTGGATTAGGATAAATGGTTTCAGCCGGTTCACATAATAAAAGACCTACAGTAAAAACTCCTTTTTCTTGACAAAATATAAACATGACAATCAAATGAAAGATAACATCCATAATTCAAATGGCAACTCCAGTTATTCTTTCTAAACATTTCAGGCATTCAAATATTAGACCATTAATGAGAATTCCAGGTCTTTAATAGAGTAACACCTTTGCGAAAACACAACATACAAGATATAGAACGAAAATAAAGGGAAATCAAAAACATCACAACTTAATGCAACAACCATTTTTAATACTGCACAAAACGTTCGCTCCTTAAAGATAACAGAGCATAGAAATGCAATTACCGATTCAGAATAAAAAAAATAGTTTACCATTATCAAAATGAGCAGAACAAAAAAAAACAGTACACTTATTTCACAAGTGTACACCTCACTAAACAAATCCTAATGCAACAGATGGGGTAAGGATGCACAAATCTTTGGCTTTGCTAAAGGTGCTATATTTCTCTAGTTATTTTCATTCACACTCCTCCTAAGTGGCCCTTAATAAAGTGAAGCACACACGTCAAGTGTGTATTTATCACGTTCTGTTTGCCATGAGGGAGTCTCCACATATAATTCCGAGCCAAACAAGGTTGCCATAGCAGTTGGCTTGTCATCGAGTTTTTTTTTTTTTTTTTTTAAGAGGACCTAACTGGTTTATATGAAACCTGCTATTTCGCCCTTTGCAACATAGTTACTGCATCGGCCTACATCAGCCATAGGAAGTGAAATGTGCTGATCAGAAGATATATTTTCATGCCGCTCTTAAAATTATCTCATCAGTTATCAAATGATTTTCACTTTCGCAATTTAAAAGTATTCGAATCTCAATCTCTAAACTTGAGTATAAATGAGATTTTTTATTTGAATTTTGGGACTGACACTGAAGTCGAATCAAGTCTTACTTAAAAAGTGTTTACGAAATGATTTACGTTATAAGAATACACTTATATAGCACATTTCTGGACAACCCCACTGTCACCACCAGTGTGCAGCCCCACCTGGATGATGTGATGGTAACGAAAGTGTGTCAGTGCGCTCCCCACACACCAGCTCTCAGTGAGGAGGAGAACAGAGTGATGAAGTAAGGAAGCCTATTAATAGATGGAGATTATTAGGAGGCCAAGATTGGGAAGGGCCAGGGGGAAACTGGGACAGGATATGGGGGTTAATGATAAACGCTCTGGGATTTTTAACGACCTCGGGAAGTCAGTACCTCAGTTTTACTTCTCATCCAACGGACGGAAAATTATAAACCTCAAGATAGCCCAGCTTAAGTCAATTGCTCACTCTTGAGAAACAGGACTTCTCTGCCAAGCTCTTTAGTGCATTCCTTATTTGATCCACCCCAGCACAGCAGATTCTCATCCCAGCCTGACCAGCTCATCAGGGTCCAGAGGAAAGACCACAGCCCTTCAGTAACGAGAGCTCAGGCAAAGCTGCAGCATGGGGACCGTGGACTCACAGAACACATCTCCACGGACAGCACAAAGAACCGACAAATCCCACAACAATAAAGATAGGAGAAAAGGGATATTTAGAAAGTATACCAATAATAATGCTTTATGCAGTAGATTTCTCTTTTGCATTTCATGATATGAAACTTGTGTTGCATCCCCTCCCCTGGTTAGGCAAGACTCAGCTTACCTAAATTCAACTGTGCAAAAAGCTCCCATGGGTCTCATTATAACAAAATAATCCAGTCAGACAAAGCTGATGTCACATGCATGAGGAGTAAGTAGCACAGCACTTTATTCCCAGGGTCAATAGTGAGGAGCAAGTGCAGTGCAGCCACCACCACAGCCACCCACTTTCTCCTTCAGTCTGGAGGTGCTTTCAGGCAGGTGTGGCAGCCTCTCGCTCATTTCTTCAAACTGGTTGAAAACTGAGTTATGCATATGGCAATCATGTCGGGAAACCACCACAGTGATCTTATTCGATGTTCTGCTCTTTGTATTTAATTACTGAACAGGACAGAGCAAGTCAGTAAGTACAGTACAGAGAAGTTCTGTAAAGGGTAACTCCCTAATTTACCGTACTGTTTATTTTTTTAACACGCTACATTTGGTGCTCGTTCTGATTCTTTAAGCTCGTAGATACCTACAATTCTCAGCTATTATTGTTCATTTTCTTCACATACTTGGAAAAAATAAAAAATATTAAAAACCTAAAAATAGTTCTTAACACCCAATTACTTGTTCAAATCACTAGGAGAAAAAAAAAAAGACAACGGCCACTACAAAAATATAAAACCCAGGAAAACCTCTGACAAATTCAACAGCAAAGCCAGGAGTACAACTATAAACCATCTGACTGCTCCTTAACTGAGCGCAAATGCTAAAACCGCAAATATGATAAGGCGCACATAACTTCCTTTAATTAAAAATCTGAAGCGCAGTCAAGAAACTCGAGCAGGAAAACAGAACAGAGACGAGGCATTTAAAATTCACTTTAAAAATGGAACAAGTAAAAAAAAAGCTATTCTGATCACGTCAAAACCTCGCGGTCCTGTCCATTGATTCAACACAAAAGAGGAAAAGTGCTTTTATCCTGGATAATTTCGAACTGCCAAAGCTACAAACAGAGGACTGAATAAGGAGCGGTGTCTGAGTCCATCGGCTCCAGAGGAACAAGCAAAGGTTAATTCCATGCTGAAAACTAGAAAGAGGAGAGTTTCGTCTGTTAAGCCTTCTTCAGGCGACACCTCTAAAACATTGTGCCTTCTCCATCTCCTTTCAGCGTGTAATTAACCTTTACTCATTCCAGAGCTACAAATAGCCACAATCTGTTAAAATGTGTTTGTGGTACAAAAACCATCACCAAACCTAGCATTTCCTGTCTGAGGTAAAGGATGGATTTTCAGTATTGACGCAGAAAATTTTTCGAGATCAATGTAACAAACAAATGCTTCCCCTTTGCTACACCCTAATAAACATTAAAAATACTTTTAAACAAAGTACCCTCACAAACCATTTTCTGAGCTCCAAACCTGAAGGTACGATAAGCTCGAAAAGAATCTAAAAAGCCAAAATTATCAATGGATTTGTAAATTTTACCCTACAACTTAAAATTAACCTGAAGAATTAATTACCAAACATTAAATGCTATACAGACCTGCTAGGTCTTTACATCTGTCTTACGCTTACATCTGAGCACACCTGTCTTACGCTTTTCATTTTCCTTCAGAACAGTATGGAATCCGGATCTTTTTTCATGTACACAGAGCCGATGGTGAGAAACACTTCGACCTGCTGGAGACTTTGTTTACCATGAAGTTCCTCCGGAGCACCACATGAGACTAGTTGCAACAAAAGCCAAAAGGAAACTAAGAAATAACTTATAAAAACAGGAACACATTCACAAAGAAAGGTGAAAAGCCCACAATCGCCATACAACCATACATTTAACCACACAACTGTTATCCTCCACTTAGCAATCTTTACTTTAAACCTGTAAAATGGAAAAGGGCATACACCATGGAAAGGATGTAGGTGTGTACACAGAAAAAGCATTAGAATGATTTCCAGTTTTCTTGTCTCTAATGAATTTCCCTGTATGCCCAGTCTACAAAACAGCTAATCAGATTATAAATCTGTCCGTTTTGAAAAAACAGGTGAAGACACCTCTGTTGCGTATTCCGTTTACACGAATTAATTGCAGTGGTTGTGTCCGAATTACAAGAGCATGCCAGGCCCACGAGCCAGAGGTCTGATGACAGCAATGATCCAAATGCAGTAAACAACAGTGGCTGAGATGCAGAAGGACAAACTTTTTTTGTAAACCTCTCTAATGCGATTATTAATAAAACCAGTCAGTCATGCTGCATCCCAGAGGCCCTCTGATCACCCACGGAGCAGTTTGTCCCTCACCGTCCTTTTGACAGTCTCCTCTTCCTTTACAGAAGGATCACATCTGCTGGGTATTGTATTTCCACTAAATTCTTTGCCACTCATCTCCTGCAATAAACTACCCAGCAGCACACAGCATCGCACCCACTACACATTCCAAGAGCACGGTCTGTATTTTGCCCCAACTTGGGACTCTCCATCAGCTAACCTCTCACAAAGAAATTAAAATTCTTCAATATAAGAGTCATCTAAATAGAGACCCTAAAAGTGTTTTTCTGTGCGAGAGCTAACAAGGGCTGAGAATCATTGTAGTCATAGGTTGTTGAAACATTTTTTTAAAAAAGCCCCCTAGGCCACAAATCTGCAGTCATAACGTATTATTTATAAACTGCAGTCACAGACATTTCCATTAATATGGCCGATGGCAGCAGAACTGTAGCAAAAGGCAAAACAGAAAACCAGTAATTAACAATTAATTCCACTGGATGGTGCTAATACTAAAACCACAAAGAGGAGGTTGGTAAGCTAAAATTCTTTTATTAACAAGTAAGACAACGATTATTGCAACCAACTCACAAGCTGTGCTCTAACAGTTCTTTTATCTGCTGTACGTTTGGCATCTCTCAAATGTCGCCTGCACTGACAGTTGTCTTAATGTCAGTGTAGCTTTACCCATCTTTGCTAGCTCTGGTAGTCAAAGTGAGTATCAGAACTGGGTCGTGGGATGTGCTCTCAAGCGTTGTATCAGGTTAGCTGTATTAAAATTCTTTGTGTCGCTCCCACCCCCAGAGACAAGTTAGTTTTACAAACATTGCAATTAACATTGGCTTGATCTGGAA